TTTTTTTTTTTTTTTTTTTTTTTTTTTTTTTTTTTTTAGATTTGTTGTTTGGGTGGGGTTTTGATGTTGAGATAGGGGTATGGCGTTGAATTGAGGGTAATTGCTTCTTGCCCAGTAGATGTAGTTATCAAGAAGAAATGCAAACTTCGTGTTTTCCCGTCTGTCTCTGGTAACTGGTGAAGTTCCAGGGGGATCCAATCGTGATGAAAGAATATAATAATCCAAGTTGAGAAATAGAACACTTCTCTCACGAAATGAGGATCCGGTCCACTAAGACTTTTGGATGGAAAGGGGCAAGTAAATATAGACGACCACGATTTACAAAACTTATTCTAATATTAAGCCCATATGATCTTTTCTATACGTGTTTCCATCACATCCGAAGCTCAGCATCCGAAACAAAATGGCTTCCCCCAGCACATCGATACCCATGCCCCTGTTTAATCCATTGATATCCCACAGGACAAACACCCATCTCTTTCAATTTCACCTGCGCCATTTCCTCCACCCTCTTCCGCTCCAGCTCTCTTCGCCTACTCTCCTCCAAAGCCCTCCTCTTGCGCTCCTTCTCAGCATTCGCTTCTACCTCTCGGATCCTAGCCTCTTCTCTTCGTCGTAGAAGTTCTAAAGCTTCAGCTTCCGTCTTCGCCTGGAGTGCTCGCAGAGCCGCGGCTTCTTCTGCGAGTTTCTTCTCCATCGCCTCTGCGATTCGACAGGCTTCTTCCTCGGCGCGGATTCGAGCTTCCCAGGTTTGCGCTTGTAGCTCGGCTATTTGCTGGTCCTTTTGTAGCTGTGCCCAGATGTCGTCGGAGACGCCGGCGTCACGAGTTGGATCTATCGCATCTGTGGTTCCCGCGGGCGTCAGGGGTTCTTCTTCTTCTTCTTTGGCAGCTTCTGAGATGGTGTGATTTGCGGTTGAGGTGCTGAAGCTAGGAGGTGGTTGTGGAGGTGCGTCTTTCATCTGGACCATGCTGGTGAAATCAGCGGGAGGTTTTGCTGGTGTAGTACCCCTAGCCCGTCGGTCGGTCAGCATGGCTTGAATACAGGTCATTGCATTCTCTTTTGAAAGAGTAAGTTGGCCGACTTTGGCTGTACTGGTCTGGAAAACGATTCTGACCATGCTCTTCGCCAGTGTCTGAACGTCCCGTGCATTTCCCCAGGAAGGAAGCTTCGAGAGCTCAGTAATTGGATTTAGAAACTCTCCGTGTGTTGAAGGATCCTGCAGGGTAGGGATAGTGATATGACTCTGCTTAAGGCTATGTTCCAACAGCTGAAGACATTGCTTTGGGCTCAAGGATGGGAATATGATTTCGTCGGCGAAACGACTACTTAAACCCTCATTTACCCTGAGCAGGTTATTCATGTCGTTATCGTAGCCAGCAAGGATAATGACCATCTTCCCAGCAAATTTGGGTTTTGTCATCATGTCCACAAGTTCGTTGACTGCTTCTTGGGCAAAGTAGCCTTCACTGAGACGATACGCTTCGTCTACGAAGAGGACTTTACCCAGACCACGTTCGAGTTGCTTTATGGTCTTTGGGCCTGTCTGACCAACATATTGGCCAATCAAATCGCTTGCGGAACACTCTACTACTTCGACATGGGATAAGAATCCAAGGTCATAATAGACCTGGCCAAACTTTCTCGCGGTAGTCGTCTTTCCAGTGCCTAGGGTGAAATGTCAGATCATCAAATAAGGACAGTATGAGACGTAGGATAGAGAAATACCAGGTGGGCCCTTAAATATAAAGTTCATTGGTATCTGTTCCCTTGGATCAAGACCCTGAGCTCGCATTCCTTTCGCAACTTTCAGGTAGCCATCCAGTTTCGCCACGATATCTTCACAGCCGATTGTATCACGGAACAGGTCCTGAAGGTTTGTCTCTGCACCCAGCGAGCGATCGAAATCGGGGTCAAAGTCTTGTGGCTCGAAGACAAAATCTATCGATCTTTTCGCAGGAGGGAGACGGGATTGTCTCGATTGGTAGTTGCTTTTAGCCTTCGAGATGAGGTTCTCAACGTCTCCACCATTGCCGAAATGCAATCCGTTGCGAAGTCGACTCAAGACATCAATCGCGACAGATACCGCCTGAACCGTGGCTCCTAACCCCTGATTCTTGAGCTTCAGTTCGAGTATCTCCTGTAGCTCCGAATCGCTGAAATCTTCGAAATGGAAGGCATCCGAAAGTTGGAAGCGTCGAGTAAGACCGGGATTCACATTTTGAAACATCTCCACCATTTGATCCTCGTAACCAAGAAGCAGAACACATCGATCTTCTCCTGGTACGCTCTGTATTTCGGCAACAATTGTGTCAATGACGGCGGTCTTGTATAGGTCGCTGCCGCCGGAACCAGAATATAGCGTGTATGCTTCATCGATGATCAGGACTTTTCCGACGGTGGTAGCGAGGATTGATTTTGTGTTGGCTTCAGATTGTCCTATAACGTTGCCAATAAAGTCCGCTGGGTTTTTAGTGACAACTAATTATCTTTTGTTAGTAAGGACAAATGAAAAATGAAAGCATGAAATACCTTCACCATTACTCAGTAGTCCAATATCTGCAAGAATTTGCCCATACAGTTTTGCTACTGTTGTCTTTCCAGTGCCCGGAGAGCCCAGGAATACACGATTGAGCGAGACTTCAATCGGTTCTTTCTCTTGAAGCTCTCTTTCGTAGTTAGTCTTGATAAGATGGATCAAGAAACTCACAGAATCCTTCACGGACTTCAAGCCGGTAAGCTTCTGGAGCTTCTCCCACGCTGCACAACACAGGATGGCTTTAGATGGATCCGGTCCAATGAGGTCTTCCTTGGTGAAGGTGTAGTCATCAGGGACAAGTCCTTCTCTGCGTTCTTTCACAAGACGGTCGGATTGGCGGCCGCGGATTTGAGCAAACAGATTTTCCAGCGCTCGAGCATTTCCAAAGCCATCTCGGCCTCTACCTCGCCCTAAGCGCCGAACAGCGATACGCATATATAGCCCATCAACGCCTCCATCAATGTCCATTGTTGACTGGTAGAGTTTATTGATCTGATACTGTAGCATCTTCAAAAGTTCCGAATCTGTATAGTCTTCAAAATGAAGTGTGTTAGGAATCCGACTTGAAAACCCAGGGTTGTGCTCGAAAAACTTTTCCATCTGCTTGCGATATCCAGCAAATACAAAGACAACCTTCCCCGTGAGGTTTTCGATTTCGGCAAGCAGAAAATCCAGAACCGTTTTCCCGTTGAAGTTATGTCCCTCGGCGAGCTGGTATGCCTCGTCAATGAAATAAACCCCCCCATCACTTTTCTCCAGAGATTTCAGATGGTCCTTAACTTCATTGACACCACCATGGGCAAGGCGTGAGCCGGTCGTTTCAATAAAGCCATCACCGGATAATACTTGCAGAGAGGCAAGGACCTTGGCATAATGTCTTGCCACGGTCGTTTTACCTATGAAAAGTTAGCAAATTTCATCCCTAACAATGAATAAATTTTGATTTATACGCTTCAGTATTCAAAGACATCAGAAATAAAAGAAGTAACAATAGCAACGACTAGTCTCAGTGACTAAATGTGTCCAGACTTGAAATTCTACCGGATTCTTACCTGTGCCTGGGTTGCCCAACAAAACAAGTCCAAGACGCTCTTTTGTCAGATCAATTCCTTGTCGGATACTAGTCTCTACCTTTGACTTTATTCGCAGGACCTGTGACTTAACATCTTCCAGGCCAATCATTTCCATAATCATATCGATAGCAGGATTGCTCGCATTTTCCTGGTCTTTCTGGCGCTGCCATTCGGTCTGCGAAGGTGAGACGTTGTGATCAAGGCAGCTTTTTAAACTTCTCTCTAATTTTGCGGCCCAGTTTGAGGGTTTTGGAGTTTGTGATGGCTGTAGCTGTGGTGATTTCTGGATAGACTTATCGGCCGGACAAGGAAAATTGTCAGCTTTCGTGCCGACTGCGGATTTCAAAGGTGTGAAGATTGTCTTATCTGCCATCTCTTTGGCAGCGGCAAGGTCTTTCCTTTTTTGAGCAAGAGCGTTTTCTTGTTCAATACTCAGGCGAGCGTCCCTCATACTCTGTGAGATTTTATCGATCTCTTCCTGGATTTTGGCCACCTCTAAAAGATGTTTTTGAATTTGGGCATCCCTTTTCTGTTGATCATCAAGCGCCTTCTGAGCCTTTCTTTCAGCTTCTTTCCGCTCTCTTTCGCATTTTGGGCAGGCTGTAAGAGAGGGGGCACCGGAGTGGCAACGCCACGACTGAGGGTGGCCATTCTGGCATTTCTGCTTCAAGATTGCCATGCATTTTATTTTTGAATGGTCATATATTTGATGACACTTGCTGGGACATTTGTGGGTGCCACATTTCAGCAATACTCCACTGCAATGATTGTAAGCAACACCTAATCGACAAAACTTGCGGTCTCAAAACTTACCATGGCTCCTTGCACCCACCATCGGGGACATGTGTCTCGAATGCCTCTGGTGATGACAGGATTTCGGTCCGATCTGGATGCTTCTCACATTTGACGGGAAACCCTTCGTAGATGTGCCCATATTCCTTCATGTTATCGAGAAATTTGCGCCACAACACTCTACCCTTCCGCGCGTGAAGGAAGGTATCGGCATTTCCAGTTATAATTAAGGCGTTACGGGCTCGAGAAAGCAGAACATTCAATCTCTCAGGTTCAGCCATAAACCCGATATCATATGATTTGTTACTTCTCGTGAGCGAGACAAGGACAATGTCACTTTCTTCGCCCTGATAGTTATCTGAGCGTTTGAATCAGTATTCTGTAAAGAAGGAAATATACTAGAATTGATGTAGAAGACCAAAGCACTGATTTAGGAACGACCCGAATCACTTACCCACGGTAGATATCCTGAGCGAAGGCTTCGACGATTTAGAACTGAGATCCGTCAACAGCCCAGCACGAGCTAGGTCAAATTTGTCCATATCATTCAGTATCGGATCATTCTCCTTTGAGAGCTGGTCTCGGAGCAATTTCAGCTGTCCCAAATACGGCGTTAAAACTACTAACTTATCGGAACCATACCCTTGCTGAGCAAGATATCGAACGCATTTCAGGATCATCTTTGCCTCAAACAAGTTCTGCTTTGAAGATTTAGTACCCAAATTTCTCAGCTCGCGGGATTGTTCCAACTCAATCTCTGGTTCTGAGTGGTTGATGAACATCACATTGTCCAGGAATCCACGAAGATTGTCGCGGCCACGCGTTGAATCTGCATCTGTAAGCTCGGGGTAAGTCAAGTGGCGAATAAGAGCGGATATTTCTGGCCGCATTCGATGCTGTTTTGTAAGAGATTGATGTGGAAAACCAGCGCGAATCAATCTTTCGAATAGTGAGCGATTCAAGTCATAACCATTTCCCCCATCGACGCTGAGTTCATAACTACATTTTGGCCGTAGTTGTTTGTGGTCTCCTATTAAGATCAACTGCTCTGTATGCAGGCCCATGGCGGTCAAAATATGCGCCTCCAGGATCTCGCCGGCTTCCTCAACCAAAACTATGCCGGGAGAGGCCGACTGAATAGCTTGCGCATATTTTGCAGCACCGTTTGTTGTGCAAGCAATGATTCGTTTTCCCTGAATAGCGTCTGTATCTCTTTGGCTGAATATATTGTCAATCTTCATCTGGTCAGTGTTAAAATCCTGAGCGAGGCGGTGAACTTCTGTAACGAGATCTTCAAGAATGGCCATCTGCCATCGCAATTGGGCAGACTGTCTCATCTGCGGGGTCATTCTCCAGACCAGCGCCGAACCTTCCGGTTGGATGTGTTTGAAGGCTCCAGCATCTGTAGTGCCTCTGGTCCACCGATCTAGAAGGTAGAAAGGATCTACAGCTTTACCCTTTCGACCTACCTTGATCATCCTGTCCTCACCTCCTGTGGGGACTGAGAAGGCCTCAAAAAAGGGCAAGGGTTCTTCAACTGCAAATTCAAGATACTCCATGAGACGTTGTTTCGTGCCCCCTGCCCAATATCGGTCAAATGCTTTTCGAAGACGGTCTTCGTGCTGTCGAAGTCTTAACTCTAGTTTGTTGACCTTATCCCATTGAGAAGGGGTGAGCTTGGAGCCAGGTTGCTCATAAAGGGTGAGAGGCTTTGTTCGATCTGTGGACTTTCCACCAAGCCGGATCATATCAGATGTTGGGATGCCGATGTCTATTAGATCTTCGAGAAATTGGTCAAGCGCATGGTTTGTGAAGCAAACCACAAGGATTGATTGAGATGTGGAATCACATAACACCTTGGCAACCAATGCCCCAATGAAGGACTTCCCAGTCCCTGTTCATTGTATAAGTAATTGTGGTCGGTGTATATTATCTGGGACTTACCTGGTGGACCTAGCACTAGGCTGACGCGTTGAGATAGACAAGCGTACAGCGAGTTCCTCTGTGACTCGTCTAGTTTAATACTTGTTTTCGTTCCGAGAACAGCCTGGAGGTCTTTGCCTTCTTTCGATTGCAGGATCTTGATTGTTCGTTCAGGACAGAAGGACGGAGCTTCCAGAACCTGCCCTTCTTCCCAGTGAAGAAGTTCTTCCGGCAATGGGAGTTCCTTCATATCTTGAAGGCGTTTGAGAAATGGCTCAAAAGCGAAGACCGCCGAGTCGAGCTGAACCAATTGGATATTCATAGCCGTTTTCATCCTTAAAAGAGCATATCGCAACGATGAATCATCTTGAAAATGTACAACAATGGTCGCTGGTGTCTTCGCAAGATAATCCTCATTCCTGACGATGGTGGGAAACGCCACTGGTTGATTATTTACAACCAGACATGCCATACTCCCGTGGCGTAAAATATGGCGGTTGTCCCCAAGGTATGCCCTCCGTTTCTCTGGGTCTATTTTGCTCAAAGGCGGTAGTTCTTTCACACACTGCAGTCTGATACCCAAAGGCTGACGCTTTCTAACAGTCCCCATCTCAACTCCGTCCAATCGAAGATCATTGACAATAAGGCCTTTGTGACGACCGGGTTTGGCACCTACCAAGATCTGGATTTCTTCTCGAATTTCCCCCATCATATCCTCTCGTAGAAGCCGGAACTGATTATCCAAGTGTATAGAATGACGGGAGGATTTCAGTGAAGGAGCTTGGATGACATCAGCTGTGCGAAGGAAAGGTCGCTCCTGCGATAGAAGCTCATCAGCGGTCGGCATGATCGAAATTTCTCTGTAATCCTCATGATCGTTGTCATGTCTACCTCCTGGCTTGACCTCGGCATCAATGTGCAAGTCTGATGAATCAAGAGATAAAGCATGCTTAATTTTTTGTCCAAGAATCCGCGTTCCGCCTTCGGGCGAGTTTAGTATTGGTGTCAATATGTCGGGGGATTTTGCCAGCGCTAGGTAAGGAGATGACCCCTTTCCCGGCAAGTATATTAGTCGTAGAAGTAGCCATGCATATGCATGATAAGCTTTTGGGGCCAAAAGCTTGTCACGGAATGCTTTGGTAAAAGCATCCCAGAAGTATGGTGGATCGACTATACTGAGAAGTATCTTTCCCAGGGCTTGCCCAGAGTCAATTGTTTCTAGAGATGGAAGTTGCAAGTATTGAAGCAACACGATCGCGTTTTCATTGATGAATGAAGGGGATGTATCGAAGCGAACGCATGCTTGGAGAGCAACGAGACCCGGCTGATTGGAAAGAAGCTTGTGTATACAGGCAGCGGGGTCTTCTCGGGCGCAGATGGCTTCGATGAAGAGTTTTCCACTTCGTGATGAGTCTAAGGTTTTCCGGCCGCAAACCACTTCGTTGAAGAGCTTCGAAAGTCGAGAGATTCGAGGGTCGTCTGCCGACGATGCCATCTGCGCAACAGCCGAAAGCTACAGTGAATAAAATCAAAACGTAGCAGGTGTAAAACTTATTCGTTGGCTTCTTTTGATTCCAAAGCGTCTGGTATTCTGGCAGTTAATTTGACTGTGGTTGAGTTGTCAATTCGAACCAGGAGAGGGGATGTCTTGAAGATATCATTGAAGGAGGTCTCTTCCCATTGCTTTGATGTTCTATTCAGGCTTTCGAGAGCCATTGGCTCGACGGTACAGCCCGAAACAAACAAGGCTTCCTCGTAGAGAGGATGGGCCTGGCTGTTCTCCCCTGTTCCAGATACAGAGTGCATGGATATGATCTTATCGTAACCTGGCTGTCAGCCTGATTGAGATTCTCCGACATGCGAGTGACAGCTGGCGGCCTATGGAACTGGCCAGGGCTATCTCAAGGTTGGCTGACTGCAGCTCTCCCAACAGCTTGTATCACGGAGCCTTGCAGCACTGCTGTTGGTGTAGGTGGCTACGGACATTGCGGAGGAAGGTAAACGAAATAAATCTCTCATATGGTCTTAGATCTGCCTTGGATCAACCACTCGGCCTTTATATATTACTAGTATTCAACACTTTCAAAAAGCCCAAGACTGGAATCCTCCTTGAAATTCGAGACTTGCCCTGGCCGTTTCGATGTCTTTTTGGCGTGGTCCCTCGCGAGGCGAACAAAGGCCAGGCCCTCTGTTTAGGCGAGGCCGGGCTGGTCAACGACATGCTGCGTTTGCAGCCGCCTCACTTGAGCCACCGAGACCCTTCGGACCCGCCCTTGACAACATTGATATCAAGTCTTTGCTGATAGAAGAGGATTCTCCCAAGATTGAGAATGTCACATATGTTGCGTCATACAATTGGCTAGACGGAGCGCATCCAGTTATCCTCGTCCCCGGTCAGTCCTGATTTGTACTCCACATCATTCCTCAGCACTTGACGATATCTGTGAATGTGTTATTAGCCCCTTGGAAAGTCACTGACAAGTATTCACAGGTTCTCCGCCGGCTTGGACACCACCTAGTGAGGATACGCAGTTGACACCTGACAGCCAGGATGTGTTCCGCGATATCAACGCAGCGAGGTACGCCGCATACCCGATGGAACCCGCTATTCGTTCGATACTCGCTCTTGAACCCGACTTCGACCTACAAGCTGTGGATGTGATGGGGTGCGGGAGTACGATGGGGAATCTGTTGAGGCTTGTTTCATCCCAAGGCAGACCTTTTCGATTTGACGTCGACCTCATTGGGGAGACAGTGTTCTTTGTTCGACACGAAAGCTCTCCTGCGGAACTTATAAAAGATCTTAGGGGTTATGGGCATACCTTTCCAGAGATGTATACGACTTGGAATTCTGATGTTGGACAGTCCTGCTCCCACCAACGCATTGTCCAATACGAATTTGGTGGTCTACGGTTCCTCATCCGGTCCGAAACAGATGGATACGTAAAGGAACCAACTTCCAGCAGATCATCAAGCACAACAAAGTCTCTGTCTTCAACTTCAGATATGCTGGGCACGATGTCTATGGGTAATGTTGGGCCATCAACAGGCCAAAAACTTCTGTTGAAGATTCAAGGAGATAAGATACCACAGGACAGAATCTTTGATATCAAAACTCGATCGGAACATGTGGTCTTCGACTTGAATGAGATTATTCCGAGACTGTGGATCAATCAAACGCCTCGATTCTTACTCGCATACCATAGCTACGGTCTTTTCAGAAATCCATCTGTGAAAGACGTTCGACAAGACGTTCTAGCTTGGCAGGATTCTAACTCTACAACATTAGGAAGATTCCATGCGCTCATTAAGCGGATTTTAGACGTCGTCCGAGATTCAGTCAACCAACAGATTGAGGTCAGCTGGGATGGCCAAGGACCTTTGCTTATCACCGAACAAATTGGAGAAGGGAGGAGAGTCCTCCCACCTGATCTGTACTGTCATTGGGAAAATATCTAATTGCGCATTTATTCCTCTCCATTCATGATTCTTTAATATTACACTTTGAATTGACCGTTTCAAGCCACTTTAAGATGATTGAAGGTGATTGAAGGTGTTCTGATTTAGCTGCATATTCAGGTTTCCGTGCGCCGCTCCGACTCCAAGCATGGAAAGATATAACTTCCTGATTAGCGTTCAATGCCAGAAGTTCCAAGCTACCTTCTGAATACATATGGTTCGATGGAATGCTTCCACCCTCTTTATCCATACTCTAATTTCGGGGGTAGAACACGATCATTGCCAAAATTTTGAAGAATCATGGGCTCTTGGATTATGAGGTAGTTTTGTTTGTGATAAAATGTAGCAGGAGTTGCGACTAGTCAGATACACTAAAACTGCATCTATTCAGCGCTCCTCTATCCGGCTGATTACTCCATAATATATATAGCTTTTACATTTCACGTCCTAGCCAAAATACCACAACATTCAAGAATTACTATAATTTATGATCCCCTCAGTCATTTCTTCAACTCTTGCCAGATAAGGTGTTTTGTGGTCCTATACACGTGACGCACTCCGATCCGAGATTCGTCTGCCGAACTCAAACCCCGGTGAGAAGCCGGCAGATAGGGAGCTGATGTAGGTGCCCACTCCTCAGACTCGGCTGCAATCCAAACCCCACATCATCATATGGTATATATTCCTCGCCATACTCTTTCATCACAGCCCCAACTTCAAGCCCCAACTTCAAAAAACCAAATAAAAAAACCATGTCTTCTCAAATGCTCAGCTTCAGAACCAATGACAATGTCACCATCCGATACCTGGACACGGGAAAGGGTGATCCGAACAGGTGGGACAAGGACCCTTTGATATTGGTGCGTTGCTGTATCCCATAATGTTTTGCTCATTTCCGCTCTATACTTTGTTTTTCTTCTTGACGCTGGACGATTGTTCGCTTTATTGGGCCTCTCTGTTCTGAGACTCTGTGAGGTCATTTTAGAGTGATTCTATCACCTCAAACTAAATCCAGTGCGGAAAAAAAATGTCTTTTATGATACAAAATGTCCTCCCTCGGTGCTCCAAGCTCCACTCCTAAGCACTTTTTTCACGTTTGAAGGTATAAATATACTTTAAGGCCAATTGTCAAGTTTTCATGTCATGCAAAGTTGAGCATGGAGCTCACGCCGGAAAGCTTGCTAGCTCCAAATAATCCTGCTGGGGTATCATTTTTGTTTCGACTTCCAAATTTCAACCTATACCTTTACTACTCCTGAGAGTTTCACTCCTAAGCTGCGATATCTGGACTATTTCTAATATAATATCAGATTCATGGATTCACGGGGTCTTCGGCCGTTTGGCAGCGCAACATCCCCGTGCTTGCTAAGAAATATAGGGTCATAGCCCCGGACTTGCGAGGCCACGGTTCAAGCGGTAAACCAAAGCATGGATATCACGTTACTAGGCTGGCAATGGATCTGAGAGAACTTATACTCCATCTAACTATAGATGATGCGCGGGGCGACCATAATGAGATGCAGTTTAAAGCCTTGGGTGGGAGCTTGGGTTGCTCAATCTTATGGTCAGTCCGTTTTCCAGCTTCATGAGGAGAAGCCAAGACCAACAGTTCGTTATACTAAACGAAACCCAGGGCGTACTCTGAACTTTTCACCACTGTTCCGTTCACACACATGATGTTCGTCGATCAGTCGCCCCTACAGAACTTTTCTCTAGATGGCTGGGATGCGCGCTTCTGCAACCGAGGAATGAACGGGGCACCGGCCGTCGCAGCATTCCAAACCGCCTTGAAACTCGCACCAGAGGCAGTACTCAAGGACGTTATTGCCAGCTGTCTGTCATATCGTTCTCACCCCCTCCCCACCGATAATATTTCTCCCGAAACTTTTGCCGCGGACGAAGCCTTCTTCCTCACAGAGGCATTGAAAGGAGATCCAGAGTGGTATGGCAAGTTGATGTCTGACCATACCTCACTGGATTGGAGGGACAGTATCCGAGGAACTTTCGGAGAACGCAACGGCAGCCCAACGAAAGTGTTCGTAGTGGCTAGTAGTAGGAGTGGGCCTTTCCCGTCCGCGGGGCCATTAGCTGTAGTCGATCTCGTCAATAATGATGAAGACGGACAGCTTGATGCGAAGCTGGCGAAGGGAGTAGTAATTGACTGGGGTGGACATTGGTGTTACTGGGAGGATCCGGAGAAGTTCAATAAGCTGGCCCTGGACTTTTTTGCGGAGTAGAGTTTGAGGAATAGCATAATGCGAGAACACTTACGGTGGTGCAACCAATGCTACAAAAGCACTCATGTTCAAGATTATAGAGCTAAACGTAAGATAGTCACAATGAATAGTAGTCTACCCAAACGTTCCCTTTTCGCTTACTACTATGCATGTATGAACTTTCTTACTACTCTGTGCCATGTTTGTTTACTCTCCAACCCGCAAAACGCGTCCCCTCGCTCGCTTGCCAAAAGGGAGCAGTCTTTCCAGACACAGCGCGAGATTCAAAAACACCAAAAAGACAAAGACAAAGACTATATATATATAAAATAAATTCAAAAAAAGAGGGGGGGCACCATGTAGAGGTTGGAACCACCTTAACAACTCCTTGGGCTACCCATTCCGCCGAAGCGTGATCCCGTTCACCGCACCCCCGACGGCCTACTTGTTCACCGGGCGACTCACTGACTACTTGAACGGTTCTCGGCCCATATCTCAACACGAGAATCGCAGGGTACACAAGGCGCCATAGCCAGTTGTCGTATAGCCCGCCTAGAGTTGTGGAGGATCTCCACTACACTATAGCAGTGCTGGCAAACGGATTGGCATTTGCTTGATTTGGTTGGGGGTTCTTCCTTAATGTTCTCTATACGGTTGAAAGCGAGGAGCTTGGCGAGTGAGGTGTGAAGCAGTTTTGGGGGTAGTGGGGGCAAGTTTGAGTGAATTTGGATATAGGAGCCAGCTGGGTTGGCTGGGTGGTTTGTTGAAGGGGGGTGCAAAGCAAAGGTCCATACGTTAGTTTTTTTCTTTTTGTTTTATTTATGAGTCAGGTATGTACAATATAGAGAATCGAATATAGTAAGTTGGTTATCAGGTCTAGCAACCTATGAGTAGAAAGTAAGAGTATGGTACTTGCTGTTGATTATTTGACTTACAGCACACTTCCCACGAGCTTCATGAATACTAAACTGAGGAAGTTGTAAATAGATGCAGCGGTTACTTAGAAGTCTCAGTATTAATAAAACATTCGCCCTCTATTCCTCTAAATCTCTAATATTACCAATCACACCAATACGATACGACTTCCCCATTTTCGACTTCCCAAGAAACTCACAATCATTTCAACCTGTTGCCAATCATATCTAAGGAGCATGTACAAGTAGCAATTTAGATATTACCCTGCTACAAAATCTAAACATATTGGTACAATAATAGAGTTAAAATAGTGCAATTTATATCAAGAGATCCATTCGGGGGCCAGGATTTGATATACTAAAATCAAAATCTCATTAGACTTCAAGGCTTGCGGTATACATAAGTTTTCTTTGTTCACAATAGGCATATAAAGAACCTTCAAATTGCAGAGAATAAACATCGCGCGTATATAGCGCCAACGAAATCTCATTGCGGCTTCCAATGAACATTTATCAACTTTGATTCAACACCGAGAGCGAGCGAGTTCAGCATTACGTCCACAACATCCTTTTATCCCAGAGCAAAGGCCATAATTGGCTATATGAACGTCATTAATGATCATCAATTACCTATTTCCATGTAACATATATTGCAATACATATCATTCTCGAGGTTAGGATTAGAACAGATCAAGAAGTAGGGGGTTTTCAAAAGCCATCCATTCCTCTCCACACGGGCATAAATAGGCAAGAATCCAACTTGACAGCAAGACAACAAACTAGTTAATATCTATATATGTATAAAAGGACCAGAGATAGAAGGGCATCATTGATCATCACCTTTGTGATGAGATGTTGTCGTCTGAGGTTAGAAATGATTTAGCATGCTCAGGGGTTTGTGATAAAGCCGCACCAATGATTAGGTAATATTCCGAGTACGTGTGTACACAGATGGTGCCGCTGTATTAATTCGGCGGGAAAATATATCAGAGCGCTCATCCGGTAGCGCGTCAAGATTTCAACGTCGATACTCCGCCATCTCCCTCACGAATACCTTTCGCATCCTCGCCAGTGCTGGACTTTATGTCATCAACACGAAATGAGAGACAAATGAGCGAGAAACAGGGATATATTCAGAGGGTGCGCCGCTACACCTAGTATCGAGTTGGATTACGCGTGTCTCCAAGTTGGAGTATCGATCTTTCAATTGTGGAAGTATGAAGTTATATTTCACCCCTTGTAACGTTTTGTATTTTGCTAGTTATACGATCATGATTTTTGGTGATCGACAGTTAGGGTACTCTTGAGAATCGGGATGTAGGGTACCTTAGTTGGGTGCTGTTGAATCTCAAGATGGGAGAAAGAGAAATTCTTGATATAGGGAGCATGCCGGTAAGGTATCATTCATTATTCGAACAGTGGTCAAATTACCCATCTATTATTTATACATACAGCCAGCCAGCCATCGTACAGATTATTATCATTCCAATCATGACGCTTCCAAACCATTCTGGCGGCACTATCCTCCCAGCACTTGCGGTCCAAATCGTGTTCCTAACCCCGGTCTGCGTCGGCGCAATCTCCAGCGTCGTGCTCAACGTCGATTGGTCCAGCCAGCCAGACGTATTACTTCCAGCTGCCTCGTCGTCTGTCGAGGGGCTAGATGGCGGCGTTGTGATGCTAGCGGTCGTGGGGGTTGTGGATGCGGAGATAGATGGGAAATCGGGGGATGTGAGGGCCTCGCCGCCTCCGGTGGGTAGTGAAGAGGAACTGGAAGACGCTCCTGTTGATAAAGACACGGTATGTGCGGTGACGGGCGTAGAAGTAGAAACGGAAGAGGGTGGGGCTGGGGCCGGTGCGGGGATACCGGCTATCGAAGCAATGATACTGGCAATACCAGGCGACGAACTAGTTGGCTCAGGATTGCCACTCGTGGTACTATAACCCCCAGCGACCGGACCGTTAGCTATTGTGGTCGGCAGCACGAACGTGCTCACTTGACCCCCTGGAATTTGCACAATAACTTCGGTTGATGCGGCCGTTACCACTGCGCTATTATCAAGCGTAACCAGCGAGCCGCCGATTGTTACCGTCTGGCCCCCTACCGCTATCTGCGACGCCCCAGCCGTGGCAGTGACGGTGAGCGAGCCGAGCGTGCCAATAACGGTGGATTGGGCGGCAGAGGCGATACCGGTGGTGACTGTACCGGTAGATTGTCCTGGGGCTGTGGCCTCAATCGGGGTTGGTGATGGTGCGGGAGCCGAGGTGCTGCTGGTGGGTGATGCTTGGGACACATCGCTAACGGCGAGGCTAGCAACAACTGTCTCAGTGGGGGTTGGGGGAGCTTTGGGTGTTTGGATGTCAGTTACACCATGCAAGCTGGTCGGGGTTGGGGCTAGAGCAGTTGGAGATGCTTCTGATTTGGGGTTCTCAGAGGCTGTGGAAGTTGAAAAAGAGGTTGATGGGTTTGAGGTGGTTGGCGTATCGAGTGGAGGCGCGACCTGACTTGATGCCGGTTCCTGGCCTGGCTCCGGTGCCAGGCTTGCTGATGGCGACTGGTTTGGTGATGGTCCCTGGCTTGGTGACGGTGACTGACTTGATTTCGGTGATGGGCGGTTTACAATAGGCGTATTGATTGGGGTGGTTGTCGGCACGGGGACTGGCGGCGTGCTTGAGGCTTGATCCGGCAGTGCTGTTGGGATAGGGTTAGCAGGTGGTGGACTAGGCGTTTGCGCCACAATGGGTGCTGTCGTGGCAAAGAATCCCAAAACGGATGGAACAGCTCCCGGAGGGTCAAAGATGCCAATCTCATAGTTTGCAGCACCGCAGCCATTCCAGTACGGGCTGGCGAACAAGTCAGCAGAATCAACAGGCCAAGACTCAGAACTTACAATCCCAGCTCCTTCATCTGATAAGGCATCACAAGATGGGGATTGCATCGGTTGAACGTATTCTTTACTGGATGAGGATCGAAGATAGCACTGAGAAGTTTATCGTGTGCCGGCTCGGCTTGCGATTTAGGGCAGTTCTCAAAGTCGCTCAATGTCAGTTGTCGTTCGGGCCCGAGTCTTGTGTGGGCATCTTTGTTTGCGTATGGTTGGAGGGTAGAGACATCTGAGATGAGCATAGAGATCACTTTGTTACTGTATGTTGGTCCCAAAGCCCCGCATTTATTGGAGCCAGATATTGTGTTGACAACCATATAGATCGATGGCGATGTCCTGTGTGCCCATGTCAATAAGGACAATCCATCTCATACAATATGCCATTTGCGATCACAGAGTTGAGATTGGTGCTTGCGATCAAAGCGTATCTTCTACTTCGAAACTCGCAAGAGCCGAGGTGCCTTTGGCAATTGGTAACCGGCGACTACTTGGAGTCTCAAGACGAAGATATCTTATCCTCGGGACTCGGGAGATTACGAAGGCTCAAAAATTGAAGATAAAGCAGCATATGAGCTGATACAGAAACACAATTGAGACAGGATGTACTGTTCTCTTAATGAAAGAGACGTGAGATGAAGCAAATCAACCTACATCGTAATCGATAACTCAGGGTTATACCATGTCGAGGGATACGTAACATTCCCTGAGTTTTCAGGGAAGTAACTCAATCGGACCGTTCCTGCAGAACTGAATCCATCATGTCAGCAATATATTCTCCAGTGCGCCGGACACCGGAGCAACACATACACTCTACACGGGTCGTATTGGACGCCCCCAGAAGCTTCGTGGGAGCAAGTGTTGATTGGAATAACCTGATCTCCCCATTGTGGAGCAGGTGTGATGGTACTCAGATCCGAACTCGCGGTGGTGGGATATGGGTACTCTGATGTAGTCGGCGTGGCTGATGATGTTTCCGGCAACGGCGAGACTGTTTCGTTCTCTAAGTCGGTTGTCCAAGAGTTCGTGTTGGAAGCTATTGATGATGGAGCTGTCAGGTTCTGATATTTGATGGGCCCTACTGGCAGTGTTTCTTCATCCCGTCGAATAACTGTTCCAATTAGAATCGCATCAGTATATTCGACGAGGATACTGTATACATACCAGAGCCGTGACATATCCTCGTACAACCAAGTAGAATCAATATTAAGTATGAAGAGCGACCATTCTCACTTAAGAACCACATTACTGCTTCATGAGAGTCAACCGCAATTCTTCAACCACGAACAGAAAACGAGTGAAATGTGTGGTGGTGATAATGGCGGGGAAAGATCGCCACGGAAAGCAGGGCCAGAAGCATATAAAAGGTACGCGCGCAGGAACAGCTTTAAACGATGCAAGCTCCAGATGCAACAGCAGGGGACCCATAACCCGCTTCCAGAACGTCAAGGTCTTCTTCACTGTGAATACTCACGTAAAGGCGTGTCTCATAGAAGCCTTATGGAGTCCAGACTACTGGCAACATGCGGTCCGTGTCGCGATAATACGAGACTGTTTAGACAACTGTATCGGTAAGGATCGTACGCACGTTTCTTGCATTGGCACCAGAAACCTCCCAGTAAAGTTACTGTGGTCTGTAGGGGCCCCTATTCAGAAATTGCTGGGAAGCTTCAGCGGCGCAGCACGCGGCACAGCGCTGAACTTGCAGTAAGTTAGTGAGAAATAGGGGTTGGGATATACCGTACCTCCATATAGTCCGGACGAAGAAAAATGAAGTAGAATGCTCCTGCAGTTCATACGGCATTTGATGACTGTGGAAGATATATAGTAGTTCGCACTTGATACCTTATGCCTCTCACCCTAATCCCGTGACCAGGAGCCAATCAAAAAGCGAAACGCTCCCCTATTGTTCCTGAACCGAGAACCCCTTTTTGAGGAGAGTATGATTCTACCATCGCCGCACCTCAGAATTCTATCTTACTTTACCTTACGTTGCCTGAGAAGCTTGCCCTGCAGAGGACAAAATAGTGTACGAGCCTCAGCTATAAGTCTTGGTATACCTCCGTAAACTATACCCCTCAAATCTGCGCCGTACTCCGCACGGAAGAATGTCGCCTGGATCAGGACGAAATAGCGAGGAAGTCCAGTGGTTTGGTCCAACTGTTGGCCCCCCATGTTGTCAGTTGCTCCCTTGCCCCGCCGTTTTATTTTCCCCTGTCTGTCTAGTTCAGATAGCTCAGACTGCAAGATGGCACAGTAAGCTTTGCAGGGATGACAAGCTCAACTGGTTACCGAGGAAACAATCATTCCCGCCTCTTGAGCTTGTTGGAAATGGATGAGGGTATAGGTCAGTAGTGCATTACTTAAGGCTTATTATTTTCCATAATATCAGTAATTGTCAAAATCACAGTACGTAGCTATTTCAAGAACGTCTCTGTGCTGAAGAACTCCCAAGGGTTCGTATCCTGGGCCATGCCATGTGGAAATTTCCGCCCAACGTGGGTCCGCGAACCACCCAACGACGCTCGACGCAGCACGAGGACTTGGGGTGTTTGTCCTGAACAGAAGTACTACTCTGTAGAGGGAAAAGGGGAATGAATATCTACCTACGAACTTACGGAGTTACCAACATCGTGGTTACAACCTAGTTTACCTATACTAAGACTAGCCTGTCACATGACACCCCCCTCTCTCTCTCCAGGGCCCTGGCTATTTTCACGACTTTTCAAGTTGCCATCTGCCAGTTGCAGACTTGCCTTGCTATATCAACAACAGCCTGTGCAGTAGTAAGTACTCCGCAATGCCGAGCACGCCCCAGCGCTTGCTCCGCAGCTCTCGCTGAATTTCCGCGGGGCTCTCGACGATCTGGGATTCGCAAGAATCGATTGCGTGAAAACTGGGTCATCCAAACAAAGTTCACCCTAAGAGCCTCAGTGGGTTCATTTGTGCTTCTTCTGTGCAAAATAACATTACTCTGCCGACCCGCCATAGCGCTAAGTAAGTAGAGATGCGCCATCAGGTACAATGCAGGTACAGAGCACGAGCAACACGGGAGGCTGGAGGTCCTATGCGCTGTCTGTATATTGTATATTATGCTGCAGAGTTGCAGACCTCCTACGGACCTACAAAGCCGTGAGGTTGATTGAATGTTATGAAACACAATTGTTGATCTTTACTTGCGCTCAACCCCATCTTTACCTGGACACAGTCTGGATGCCACTAGTGCAGTATCCTGGAGTTGCAGAGGAGCAGGGGCCGGCTACTGCTCTGTACTAATAATACAGGAACCAGACCGCGCATTATCTTTTGCCCTTTTCGGAATATCAGATCATGCTACTAAGTAGTGCCCGTACCAGTCTTAGGCTGCTACAGACCACCGCTGTATACAGAGGTAGTCCATATCAAGTACTGTGTCAAGATACTGCCGAATAATGATCTGCACATCATGCAGCTACCACGGTAGCGGCCACGAGGGAGCATTTAGGCCCCTGTTACCCGTCGTCCCTGGCCCCTGGGCCCTGGGTCCCCAACTTCCAGGGTGATAAGCACGGCCGAGGAGTTCGAATGCCTTTTCATCTGTATCTTCTTCTCCGCAGTGCCGCACGGATGTTTTTCCCGTCTCAACTTCTGACTTCTTCCTCCCACGTTGCCTGCGCGCGACATGTACATGCCGCTCTTGAATTCATGACCTCCAACAGCAGTGATGCCCATTCTTCATGATGCGTTGCTCTTTGCCTCGACCTTGATACTGGTCATTTCAGCGGCGCCTGTTGAAGAGCGCGCGGCAAATGGCATAGAGCCACAGCTGCCCTCGCCGCTGGTCGTCCCACCAAGCCAATACTGGTGCGCCTTATCAATGCATGATCCTGCGATTCCCTATAGCTAACCATATTTCCAGGGATGGAGATAATGGAGCCTGGTCATCATTTGCTCTCAGAGTTGGAACACCACCACAGGATGTCCGGGTCCTCGTGTCAACTAATTCCCCGGAGGCGATGGTGGTCGTACCGCTGGGTTGTACGACAACAGCGGTAAATCCTGTGCCGGCAGATTGTGCCAATTCGCGGGGCGGGCTTTTCAACACCAGTCAATCATCAACGTGGCAGGAGCAAGGCTTTTTTGGCATCAACGAAAATGGTGTCGGATTTGAAGCAGATCTGGGATATTCGCAGAATGCCGAGTATGGCCTGGATACGTTGGGGTTGGGATTTACTGGGGGACCAGGTGGACCGACGCTGGAGAATCAGACTATTGCTGCGATAGCTTCTGTGTCTCCATTCTATACGTATGCTTCCCCTTCCATGTCACATATTTAGAGGACATGCTAACTAGTCTAGAGGAATATTTGGTTTGAGCACACAGCCAGTCAACTACAGCACCATTGGAAACTTCTCGGCACCTTCATATTTCACGTCTTTAAGATCGCAGAAGCTTATCCCAAGCCTAAGCTGGAGCTATACAGCTGGGGCCAAATACCGTAATTCAACCACATCAATTTTTTATGTCTGACTGCTCACTGAACTCCCAGGTCTCAAAGCCGGGCAATACGCTCAACTTATCTTTGGAGGCTTTGACACTTCACGATTTACATCAAATTCCGCCAGTTTTACGTTGGCCGGTGATATCGATCGTGATATAGTTGTGGGAATTCAGTCAATAATTTATAGCGGAACCACTCAAGCGAACCTGCTCTCTACTCCAACCTACGCTTTCATCGAATCAACTGATCCTAATATCTGGCTTCCGGAAGCGGCGTGTCAGGAGTTTGAAAAGGCGTTTGGGATTTCTATTGACGAATCTACCGGCCTTTATTTGATGAACACCACGCAATATGCCCAACTCGAAGCCACCAATGCTCAAGTCACGTTCACGCTAGGCAACAGCTTGACGGGAGGTGAGACGGTTAATATCATTCTTCCGTTCAGTGCATTTGCTCTTCCAGCATCCTATCCACTCACCTCGAATGACACATACTACTTTCCCCTTAAGAAGGCAGCCAATGATAGTCAGGTCACTTTGGGGAGGGCGTTTCTCCAAGAAGCGTAAGTCGAAAGTTTACAAAGGGTGGCTCATGAAGTTTCTAACCTTAGTATAGGTATTTGACCGTCGACTATGAGCGTGGGAATTTCTCAGTAAGCCAATGTCTATGGGTTGATGGCGCAGCATCACAAATCGAGTCCATCCTCTCGCCAACATACCCAACAAATATTTCATCACCTGCTCTTCCTGCCTCCAATGCTGCAAAGAGTTCTAATCACCTTTCGCCTGGCGTTATAGCGGCTATAGTAATCGTGGTAGTTTTCGTCGTTGCAGCTGTCCTGGGACTGGCATACTATTTCTTTGTCTACCGACACGTCCCTTCCAATGCTCCCGATCAACGGGACTTATCCAATCCAACTCCCCAAACCGAGAATGTTGGTCTCAGCCCGGTGCCGCCTGCCTACCCAATCAACTCGGGGCTGAACCCAGTGAACAACCCGGAGGACGATGGAATGATGGTCAAAGTCCCAACATCTCCAGCACCGGAGTATGAAGATACTCCTCCAGTCATCCATGACTATTACCGACCCGATAGCGAGCTATCCAACACCGGAGAGATTTACCAACTGCCTGGACCGCAGGACACCCATATTGGACACTACCTATCCGTAGAAAACGGCGCCAAATCTAACAGGAAATCAGGAGCTACGCCCGGGATTGCAGGTCTAAGATATACCCATGAGTTGGAAGGCAGTAGGCCCGAGCCTCAGGAGATGGAAGATGAGACAAGTATTGGCAGAATAACGCCAGATACGGGTATAGGTAGAGTTACGCCAGATACCAGTCTAGGCAGAGTAACGCCAGTTACTCCACAAATAGGGCCAGTCACTCCACAAACAGCTCCCATTACTCCACGAATAGTGTCGCCCTCATCCAATCCCGTCTTCTCACCCCTAAGTCCCGGACGACAGCACGCGAATACAGGAGAGTCGCCAAACGTATCGGCCCCATCCAGCCCGTCCCTATTCACATTTCTGAGCGAATAATCATCAGCATATGGCACGGAGTTCACGGTTTTCTTTCCAAAGGGTTGATACCAGACGGCATACTATCATTGTTTTAGCAATGTCATAGGAGGAGAAACTGCATAGCAAAATACTCATATCCTATCATGTATAATCAATAATGTTCAATCTATAATTAGGAAGGAAAGGGGTCTTCAGAGTTGAAAACCCGTTGTCTGTTCCATGATGGGGAACTTGAACATGGGGCTAGTATGTCCGCCCGAGAAGCATCGCGGATTTTAAGTAGCCACGTAATTCTATGATGAAGAATGAGATGAAAGCATTCCGAATATGAGACACTCATCGTCCACGTCGTTTTTTGTGCTTTTTGCATATCCTAGTGGAAATTGAATCGAGTCCTAACAATATCTTAACCAGATCATAACGTAAGTCAGAGCAGATAAATTCGCCTAAGGATAACACTCCTACTCCTTAAGCTTTCAGCGTCGTGTAGTCCTAGTAACAATCACATGATGTCAGCTTCCTAGGTATATACCGCTTCCGTTACCTTACCTCCCCCTTTATTTAATCCTCGACTCGCTTACACATGAGAGGACTTTTATTTTTGGGGATTTTCTGGCAGATATAGATAGAAACTTATCTACAGGTGTCGATGACTGGGATCTGTGATATATGTGTACTTTATGGAAAATAAAGCTTGGAATAAGAGGGGCGGGCGGGGATTGATCAACAGGGGGAAAGTGAGAAAAATTTAGAAGGTGTTTTCTGAGGAAACGTGGCCAAGGAAAGGAAGGACGGAAGGAAATTAGTTACCGTCAATATTCAACCTCACTTCAACCATATACCAATCACCGTGACAAAAATAATTAAAGAGGTTGATAATCCCGCCACAAACCTGTGTTCAATTATTTACGGTCCCTAGTGACCGTGCTGTACGTCTAGTATCAAAATACTGACTTCCAGACCCTGAAGCCCCGTCTTCGATAACTGGTTCCCCTTGAGTGTCCAGCTCGAATTTCCATACAAGACTTGAGCAATTGAGATCGCTGCCTCTGGTAGAGTAATCGTAACCAACGAGTCATAATTCACATATTCCTCACTCACAACACCAACCATCATTTCCGACCCCACGATCCACGCACTCGCATCCACCAACGGCTCACCTTGGACCTGCAGGGTCTTGATCGCATTTGCGCCAAAGAGGAAATCCAGCGCAGGTTCCGTCTTCAGGACATTGCCTAGTGCGCCACTCCCAATATTCACGTCTTCGGTGCTGGGATAGATCCAATACGTGATGCCCTTCGCGTCGTGGTTGATAGATAGCATCATCATGTTCTCCACCTCTGCTGGGCTCGGGATTGATTTCCAGTAATCCTGGTCCCCGAATGCTTGTAGGACTGCCCAGGTAGGTTTCATTCCTTGGCCAGGGAGATTCGCTTGGTATGTTTGGATATCGTCGAGTCGGTCAGAGACGTCGGTAAGAGAGCCGATACAGTTGTCGCAGCCGCAATCGCCATAGGTTAGATTGCATGGCGTGTCCCAGGGAATGGACCAGGTGGCATTTATGGCTACGGGGTAGGCGTCTTCGAAGATGATGTCGGCACCGGAGGCGTATTCTTGATAGTAGAAGTTCTGGCAGTTTAGGACGAGAGAAACGGGGTGGTAGGGGTCGAGGGATTTGAGTTGGTTGTAGGCTAGAGATGTGGAATTCAGGGGGTAGGCCCAGCCATCTGGTTCATCAGCCGTATACCACATTAGAAGGCTCGTGCGATTCTTCCATAGTTGAACTTGGTCATTAACTTGTGTAGCGTTCTGGAAGGAAAATCTCATGTCATAGATATTTAAGAGATTGAGCTCGTCCATGCGGTCCCAGTATTGCTCTAATTGTCCTGTTGGATACGACTGGTCTGGACCGACTCCACTAGGGACGATGTTGATAGTGTTGAAGCCTTGAGCAACATAGGTGTCTAGGTTTACTAGGGACATGTTTGAAGGAGTGACATATGACCCGTCGGCGTAGTATCCGTTGGGAAAGACTGGATACCAGCCTCTCCAGTGATTGAGTGCATTTTGAACGTAAAGGCCACCAAAAAGATTGTCGATTTTCACCGCGCTACCGTAGGAGCGTGAGGGGAGAACGTAGATTTGAGTGGTAGCGGTGAAGGATTGCTGGCCATCGGGGGAACTTCCATGAAACGAGACCTGGTAAGGCTCCCAGCGTGGAATGAAGGACAATAATGGAAACTCAAAGAGATTCCCAGTTGAGTTCACAGGGACAGAACTAGCCACGAGCAATGATCTGGTCTCCTCACTGTAGATTTTAAAATGCAGCGTGGTAAAGGGACTTCCGTCCCTACCCCCAGGTAAAGCGTAAGAAACGTTGTTGTACGGCTGGCCAAAGATGTGTGAGATCGATGCACCAACAATGAAAGACCCGAAGACGTCATTTTCCAGGAAAATCGTATACCTTGGGGCCACCGTTACATAGAGCATCGGCTTTGACTGGACGGTTGGAAAGACGAACTGTCCACCTGGATCCAGTGCCTGGTTTCTTTTCAGTGTCAGTATATAGAGTCTGCTTCGGGGTATCATCAGACCTACGTGCTCATATAAGGCTTTCCACACCACGTAGGAACATCGGATGGGGCATTGAATGCAAGGGCATCTCTGATGGTTGACAGCGCGACGAGAGCCGCTGAAAATACTCCGAATCCCCTCATTTCGATGCGGTTTCCTGCTCGTTTTCAACGCTGGAAGAGCCCAACATGGGCCCAGGCGGCAACGTCATCTTATATATTCCGGACATGGACGTACAATACCCCCGTACTGATTGATCAAGGGGAACATTGCGAGGCGGTGGGTCTGAAGTTCCGGTTCACGATTGCGATAGCCGAAGGCGCTACAACAGATTCCCGTACCTTCAAGACTTCAGAAGCTATTCTATACTTTATTTACCACAAAGCTTTCAATGCTTCAAGGGATCATATCTGCTTTTCAATAACAACCACTCAAGCACAGCTGATCTAGCTATGCTGTTGTCTCTTCGCAAAGGTCTCTCCTGACTTCTCTAAGATCGTGATCGACAGTCACATGATAAGGGCAAAAGATTCAGATGCAACGTTGCCAAGCTCACGGAAGAACTGATAAGTAGTGGGGTACTACAGCACCATACATGTCAAAAGAGCCAAAAGAGCCCGCTCTTATCACTTGATCCTCACCGGCTGTTTATATTTACCCCGTGCGAATGTCCCAGAGGAGCAGGTGTGAAATGCCGTTGGAGAGGAGGTCGGGGAGACAATTATTGATTCATTGGAGACACCAACAACATCTCCTGTCAACAAGGGCCGACTCACTCCCAGTCTCTCACCGGTCTGCACGATGACTCCGCACTCGCTCACCTATCACCGGTGTCTACTTATACCACTGCCATCCACCGTCAAGACACAGACTAAACCTTCCGTCTGTCGATCTGAGCTTAATTGCAGCAGCATCACAGGTCCAAGATAATGGTCGTGGACGACCCCACTCTAGGCATGGTTCAGGCTATGGCAGACTCGGCAGAGCCGTACAGAGGAGATCACAGGAGCAGTACCGGTACCCCCGTAGTGTTGGAAGCTCCAAGACCAAATAGTTGGGTTCTAAGTGGAGGGAGTTTCTGATCCTAGACTCCTAGTCAGCAAGATAAGCATCTATGCGGTGGAGGTGACTCCTGCGAAGGCCAGTGGAGCGGATTGAAAGAACCATGCATTCTTTTCAGGAAACCCTTGGGATGTAGTAAGATTCTAAGGTAATTGTAAGATTTTATATAATTCGATAACTGTCGAAGTTACCAGAACACCTACACTCTATTAACCTAGCTCGTGCAGCTTCCCCGCAGCTCTGATCCTGTCCCACCACCTTTCTCTCCTCCACAAGCCTGCACACGCTCTCAAGGCCCGCCACAGAACGCCCACCACCGCGAACCCGATCACGAAGCCCAAGAGCGTGACCAGGAACCAGTGTCTCCCCATCCAGAAAATGACGTCCATATCGCGGCCATGCCAACTGCCCCCTTGAACGTTCTTGAAGAAGCCGTAACTATCGCCATTAGTGCCGTCCTTGGGCAGGAGGCGAACGCGGGGGACAGCCGTGCCGAAGCCGGGCACACCGCGGCGCAGAAACTCAATCCACACAACGGAGAGAAAGAGCGGGCCCGTGCTGTACATCACGGTGATGTAGGGCAGGCCCCAGTTGCGGTTGTATTCCGATAGGCGCTCGATCACGAGTGTGAAGAAGGGGTGTTGGGGCGTGGAACCGAGGATATCGTTCGAGATGCCTGTAGGGGATGTGAGGCATGCGATGGAGGGATAGGAAAGGAGGGGAGTGAGGGAGCGGTAGGGTAATAGATCGAGGTCAATGTAGATGCCGCCGTAGCGGTGGAGTAAGAAATAGCGCAAAGCGTCGGCGCGTTGGATGGGGTGGGGGTATGAGGTGTAGGTTTCGAGGAAAAAGGGGTATTCGGTTTCGATAAACTGGAGGGCGGTTGTGTCCGTCCAGAACTTTGTGAGGGGTTAGTGGATGGCTTGAAATGGGGAGCGGAGAGGAGGGTTAGGGGAAAGGGGCAGCACCATGTATTCGTAATCCGGATGCAGATCTTTCACTGCTTGTTGGCTGGCTTGCCAGTGATCGGGTACCTTCTCTGTGATGTAGGTCTGGTGTATGATTTTGGGGATCAGTTGTGGGAGAGTGATGTTCGAGTCCGAGGCCGGGATATCAGAGGCGGAGATTCTATCGCTGCCACCATCTTCAAAGAGTAGCCCAATGAGAAACCAGGACCTGTGAAGCAGGAAGGCCACAACAAAGACAACGAACAGAATGAATATGAGCGCCCCACGGCGCAGGGCTCGTGGAGGCATGTCACGACGAGGCTGAAGTTGCAAGGCTCGGGCTCCTCAGCAGAACACCAGACACAAAGAGAAAAGCCAAGGAAAGCCAAGGAAAATCACACTATAAGAAAGACCCAGAAAACATGGTTCATGAGATGGGATGTCAAGGCCGTCAAAAGCCAAGAGCTGCGCGATGTCCCTGTATCTTATACAGAGTCCATCCTCCGCATAAGCATACAACTATGGGGGGACTAAACAAACGAAAAGACCCCTAGAAATTGTGTTTCTCCTCTCAGAGGACGGCGATGACAGGCTCGCGCTTCCCGCCACTTTCAGCCCCTGGTCATGGCGCTCTGGAGCGCATAGTCTGATTCGTGGGAAGAGAGAGACAAGGAGGGAGGCTTTGAACGAACAAACAGTAGAGACACTCTGTCCGCCGTGGCCACGCGGCCAAGCACTTACTAGGCTGACATGAGAATGGCGACGGGAGGATTCTCACCTGCAGAAGGGATCCAGACTCCAGAGGATCCAGAATGAAGCAGAAGATCTCTGATTTGCCGGTTCTATTAGTTCTTCGTCGACGGATGTAGAAAAGTGATATTTAGCCTGAACCGAATGTCCCCGACTTCCTGGCTCCCCTGTCGCTTTGCCGGGCACCGGCCTTTTTATTCCCCGGGTACAGCCACGTGACTAAAGCTTATTCTTGGATAAGCGTCTCTTGATAGTATACCAGGGTCCAGGATGGATAACATCAGCGTAAGTTATCCCGCGAAGCTCGTGTAAAAGGCTGGCAGGATGTCACTCCGTGAGTCGGTGTTCAGCCTTCAGCAGCCTCAGCCGTGCCTTAATCCGAAGTGGACTGCCAGATACTCCGGGCTCGTATTGCGAATTGCAATTTGCCCTGGGCCGCTTTTGACCTGCTACAGACTACAGGACTTGAAAGAAGTCTTCAAGTGCAAAAGTCAGGCCGTCTTATTACCCGGGGATGCGGATCCAGGTCGGAAGGTTGCAGCATATTGGAAACGAATTGTCCTCGTCGTTCCAGTTCTTGTGGCATGGTCTTTCTGACTTCGGATTTGGGTACGGTATGGCTACACAACTTCCCTAGGGATCTATGTTTTGATCATGGTTCTCACGTTGTTAATTAGAACGACTCTTATTATGCAAAAGCAGCCGTAGAAGAAAAGTTGTATTGTGTAAAATCAGCTTCAACTTGTGCCGCTCTTAGCTAAGCGAATTATCGCGTACAAGCTGAGTCCACAACTCGACCTACACATAACGTACCCATATAAGAGCTCTCTTAAACTCTTGGTTCAAGCTAGGCATCGGTCCCCTATATAAGTAAAACTATGGTATACATCGATTAATACAGCATTAATCTCTTATACCAATCTCCAAGTTATTTTAAACTTCAATGCTATAATTGTCGGCCTCGCTTAGGTGGGTCGCTTAATGTCAGCCCTACCAGCTTCTATATGGTCACGTGCGCTTCCCCTAACGACACCTTACTTTACCGTACCTAGGTAACTTGGATACCTTGTTAACATTGACAATAAATATATCCTCAATACTGCGGCGTCCCTTGAGTAGTTTAGCTAGAGCTTGGTTACAACAGGCAGACGGGACCATTTAATTGTGCCCGCAACCGCTAATATCATTATCATACTACGAAGCGAGCCAGTCAACCTAGTAGGTAGGTAGATATTGTACTTGACTCCGTAAATAGGTACTTTCTTTTCTTCCTTTCTTTCTTTCTTCCTTGCTCTAGGATTTAACTTATAAGCTCCTATTACATTTAAAATTAATGATGGCTTGTGACAGTTACTCCCGAAGACACCACTTGTTACAATCACTCTATTAACCTCTGTTAGGTACCTAACAATACATGCTAAGATCAAACCTAAGTACATCTTATCGCAAACCTTCTATCAGGCCAGACAAAAGAATAACTCAACACGGGAAGCCCATCACAACATTCCCACCCTGCAGAACAGATTTTCATGACTTCCAGATTCCCCTGAATCCGGACGCTCCGTTATCATCACGTGACCTTTATCCAACGACATCACAGCATATTCTATCCCACCCTTCCTCTATCCCTCAACTGTCATCCTCCCAACTACCCTCTCCCTCAATCCAAAAGAAAATAATGTCACGTCTAACAACAGATCTTAGTGCTCACCTAGCACTGGTAACAGGCGCCAGCGGCGGGATCGGCAAAGCTACTTGCCGGGCGTTGGCGGCACTAGGATGCTCCATCGCGGTACATTATCATTCCTCGGCTGCTGCAGCGGAGGAGCTGGTACAGGAATTGAGAGGCTTGGGTGTTAAGGCAGAGAAGTTCCAGGCGGATCTGACGCATTATGATCAGGTGGGTGGTTTTGCTTCTTGTTTTGGAGGTTAAAACTTAGTTCTGGGAAATTGGGCAAGAGGGCTTCAAAGTTGAAGAGGGTTGGTTGTCTTGAGGGCGGGGGTAGGGAGATGGGTATTTTTGAGAGTGTTTACAAATTAATCTCCTGTGGTTGGTTTCAGGAGTTGGATGCATGGAATTAATGTGTTCTTTAATTTAATCAACTTTACTACTCCTCATCCCTTAAAGCCACTTCCTCCCCCATCTCTTTACCATCCCCATACCCTCTCTTCCTTTTCCCAGCTCTTCCCCACCATACTCACATCACAACTTCCAGGTCCGCGCCCTCCACGCCAATGTAACAGCCAGCATGGGCGCGCCCACCATCCTCTTCAACAATGCCGGGCTCACGCTCCGCTTCAACATCACCTCCCTCTCCGAGATCAGCATCGACGATTTCGAGCACGTGTGGCGCGCCAACTGCGGCTCCGCCTTCCTACTGACCCAGCTCTGCGTCCCCGAGATGGAGAAGCAGGGCTGGGGCCGCGTGATCTTCTGCTCCAGCGTTGCGGGCTTTACCGGCGGCGTTGTAGGGCCGCACTACGCGTGAGTGATTCGCTCCCATTTCCGCAGCCCGTTTTCTCTCCTTCACCCCTCCTCTCGCAAACCTGGAGAGGGAAGGGAGAGCAAGAATAGATAATTCACGCCTGGATTCTCAATATCTAACCTCATTGTCATAGGTCTTCGAAATCCGCTCTCCATGGCTTGATTCATTGGATGGCAGGCGCCTATTCTAAAACTGGCATCACGGTCAATGGCGTGGCGCCCGCGCTGATCCAAGAGACGACGATGCTACCCGGCAAGTCCGACGAGCTGGCGAAGAGTGCGTGCAGCTTGTATCCGTTTGAGAGGCCTTGGCTGACACAGAAAATAGAGATTCCGATCGGTCGACTTGGATACCCGGAAGAGGTCGCGGAGACGGTTGCGGTATGTAACTGCCTTTCCCCCTCTCCCTTTTCTTGTTTCGTGGCATACTCTTGTTTCGTGACATGCTCTTGGTTAATCTGCTTCTTCCTTTGTTCCGTTTTTTGTAGTTTATGAGATATTTTTCTACTGGTTATTCTGCTTGATCCTGGGAGGGAGAACATGAAGTGCTAACATTGCGGGTGCCTAGTGGATGGTCAAGACGGGATATGTGACTAACAAGATTGTTGGTATTGATGGGGGACTTTTCCCTCAATAATTGATATGTGTAGATGTAGGAAAGAATGATGAGAAAAATAAATTATATCGTCATTCTCTACATATGTAACAAGCCATCTTACTATACACATGAGACTCGACGTATATGCCTTCTTCCACCTCTCCAGATAGAGACGCTAATTAGATAAGTTCAAGACCCCTTGCTTTGGTGCCTTGAGATATCCAGCATTGCTACGTGCAGCGTTCTTCCGCAGACGTTTCCGTAGCCTCGAACTTCCACGTGACTCAATCACCTGTCGGAGATACGGACTAGCAAACGTCCGTCTTCCCAATGCTTCATCGATCTGCCCAGCCATTTCCTCTAAAGAGAGGACATTATGCTTCCTTGCCTGTCTGTTGGATAATCGATTAGATCGTCCTGGCCCGTAATATGTAACCAAGCGATTGAAGATGGCTTTCCTGACGGTGTTTATATTGATGTGAACTCGGTATTGATGAAGTCGCTTCAGAAGACTGATTCCGAAGGTAATCGGAGGAGATACATCTGCTTTGCGGATCAGCCCCGCCGGTTCGGTTGTGTGGCGAGGCGGGTTCTTAAGAGAATGCATGAATCCCCATTCCACAATCGCTTGCTGCAAGGCTGGCGGGAAGAGAATTTTGAGAGGGTGCAGAGGGTGGGACGTCTTGACTTGTGTCGGAACGCGGTACCGATGTACTCGTTTTGCCACCGTTGGGCTTAGGAATGAAGTCGTATTTGCAGGGCCATACCAAGAGGCGAGAAAGACACATAAATCTTCGAGCTCCTTCAATCGACCTAGCATGCCGAGTCGTTTAATGATTTCCCGCCAGTATGTGGCTGACACAAAACTACCCGATTCCATTATGCCTTTCAATATGGAGATGGCCATATTCAGGTCGTCCGCGTTCTTGATAGTCGAAGTGATGGGTCGCCGACCTCGTTGACGGGGCCGCAGGATACCGTGGAGAATATGATTGACCGTATTTGCAGTGACCACTATGCCATCCATCTGCATCTTCCGTAGAGACGCCAACATAGCGGATGTATCACCGTTATTAACATGACTTCTCAGTATAATGTTCTGGGTATCCATTTCGGGATGTTTACTACCGACTAATCGAATCGCCAAGGTCAATCTATACTGAAACCAATCCCGTGAGCGTGCATAAGAAGTTAACAGTTGCTCTTGAAGATTGTGGTCGTCAAATTCGTCAGGATGTTGGTCGCTTTTCAGAAGACCATCGAGAAATTCCTGGTTTTGAGTGCGGGCAAACTTTTCCACGGCTCTGGAAAATGTGGAATTGCCAATGGAAATATCGAGGTCTTTGAGCTGATTAATACGCTGCGTGATGCGCTCGGCATCCCGTTCGCGCAGTGCGATTGCCTGTAATGACAACGGGCCAATTTCTTGGACCCCAAGGGCATGGATAGCGTTCAAGGCGACGTCCAGCGAGACCCATTGGGTGGCCAACCACCGAGCCCCCAGGTTATCATTATAAGCTTTAACAGGTATATGAAAGGTTTTTCCATGTATGAGATTCATCATCTCTCGAGATATTTTGGTATTGTCATTGAGTGTCGACGAAATCCTCGAGGCGAAGGGAACGCCAGCATCCACAAGACTTTTGGTGACTTGAACTGCTTTTCGGCGATTGTATATAGCAAGAAAATGAACCAAAGGCTCGGCTTTCTTTGAACTCGCAGGTAAATCGCCCTTTTCAAGGAGTATGAAGTGCCATTGCAAGGCACTTTTGAAGTCTTCCTGCTCACACAAGAATGGAACGATTTTCCCATAGACATTGCGATGATTGTTGCCCTTGTATATTTCTTTTAGCGCTTCCATGTCCCCTCTCTTGAAGACAACCTGGCGGACCATCTCTGCAAACCCATTCGGGCCGGGGGCATGGCGTTCGATCAATCGACTATGCCAATCAATGGCTTCTTGGCCACGGCCATTGAGCAGCAGATGTTGAATAATCTTGACGTAGAGCTTAGACCAGCGTTCCTGTGTTTCTTCCAATCGCTGATCTGCATATCGCCATACTTCTTTGAGCACTTTGCTGTCCTGCAAGCCAAGATTCACAAATTCCTCCCAGAATCGCTGCGCGTAGGCTCCTATCACGGGGACCTGAAAGTCGCCTCTCTTAACTGCTTCCCAGAACATTGCCACCCCAGAAAGACCGTAAAGTCGCTGTCTATAATCGAAGAGACAAGCCCAGAGTCGAACATCCATTCGGTGGGCCGGTTGATCGAGTAGTCTTGGTCTTGATGTAGCCTCTCCGTCCAAGTTTGATTCGAACTCAATTTCATCGCGGGTCCATAAACTCTCGTTCCATGGCCCATAGTTGAGATTTGAGTACCGTGGTTGATTATTTGCCTGTCCAGTCTTGTATTTTCGGACGAGTCGGGAGGGGGTACTGGATTTGGATATTGGAGAGGCGATTTCCGGGCTACCATCCCCCAAAACGAGCGCAGCCTCCTCTTGCGGTCCCACAGCGGCACTCGAGTATTGACGGTTATCGAACGGAGAACGGGAGCATCGTCGAGTTCTGGTAACTGCAGGGCGGAGTTCTTGTGCATTTCCCACTAAATATCGGAGAATCTCCAGAGAGGAGGGCCTCGCGAGAAGTCTCTGCAAAGCTGGACGCATCCTGTTGTTCTGTGCGGGGCCAATTGGCGTGGTGCAAAAAGATTACCGCCATCTCCATTGCATCTCTTCTCGTTGCGGGCGTTATCACGTCCCTGGGCTGAGGCTCTGGAGCTCGCGAAGTTTCGGGGTCGAGTCTCTGGTGAAGGCTATTAGTCAGCAGCACGCTAGAGACTTCTTCCGAGCTTCAACTGACATCGTCAATCGGACGACTGCATAACTTCCTCTCAATCCGAACACGATCCGTCAACTACGCACACAATGGCAGGGTAAGTGATCAATTGGTTTTCTACGGTCTCATATATGCCGCCAGAATCTCTCGAACGGCCTTCAGCTTCCCTTGGACCGATTGGGGCTAGAATCAGAATCAGGCCATGTCCGACAGTAGGAGCAAAAGCTAACAACTTGTTGCAACAGCTTCATCTTCCGCGAGAACCGCGTCCCTTACTACCAGCGCCTCTTCCAAGAGGGCCAAAAGAAGCACATCCGTCAATGGAACCAGGTACGCTCATCCCGATGCTCCGCGTCCTCTTCCGGCCAGGAGCTCTTGTTTCGTCATCGACACTAACGAAGAGATGGACAGACCCCAAGGAGCAAGATGCTGCTTTACCCATACTATGTCATTATGTTCGGCGGCTTTGCTGGTATGTAGCCCTGGTGGAAGACAGGAGATGACCGCTTAACTGATCTGGGAATGCAGGCTCAATGTACATGATGTGCCGAACGGTCCTCGGACACAGAACTTGGTTCGGCAAGGACTAAATGATGCGCCGTGAATTGGGATATTCGCGGAGGCTCGGGTTTGGAGGAACGGTGTATATTTGAAGACAAGAGAATAGACCTTTCTTCTGTAACTCGGCGCGTGTGGACTACAGCTTACTGTGCACTCGCATGGTGATCCTTGATCCGAGGTGGTTGTCCCATTGATATGCTAAGGCTTCGTGCGGTTGTGTCTCGTGAATTGCCTCTAGTATTCTATCCACCCGCCCATACACTCTGTTCTTGTGGAGAGGTTCGTCATCGGGGATACAACTTTGAACGGGCAATCCGAGGCTGGCATCAAGTTCAAAGCTCACAATCAAGGCCCAAGAATAAAAGAGGGGCCGTATGCTTTTGGTAGCTCTCTTAACAAGTACCCCTCCAAACGGCTCGACCTTCAAAGGTACTGGCACAAAAAGGTAAAAAGTGTCAAAAGACTCTCGATTGTTGCCTGGGTTCTAAGATCGATGATCTTCCCAGTAAATACTCATTTAATGCTAATAACTCGTGACCCTCCTATTTCCCCATCCAAACCATCATCAATTTCCCTTCCCGCTATCCCGTCTCAACATCTCCGCAACATCAGCATCTAGTCCTTCCATCGCGTCTTCGCCACCGAAACCTGGAAATTCATCCCCTGAGTTCAGTTTCCGCTTTTTAACACTGCTTGCACCAGATGTCGATGCTGGTTGGCCGAATGATGTGTAGGTAGTGGATGTTGAGAGACTGGACAAGAGATCTGAACCAGCAGATGGCGGTGGCGGCGGTGAAACAGACGCTTGTGGAGCTGAAATGGTATCATTGCCATTGCCATTGCCATTGCCATTTGAAGCCTCCAGGTTCAATTCAGGGACAGGCTCAGTTGCTGGCGGCTGCGGGTAGCCAGGAGGAGTCAAAGCCTCAACCTCGGGACGATCTGGTTCAGGAGCAGGGGTAACAGGCGTTTGACTAACCCCTGGACTACCGTTGCCTGCTCCAGCTGGAGTACCAGGATTGCTATTAGAAGAGGCAAATCCACGCATGATACTGTCCTCCACATCTTTTTTCTTGGCGTCGATTTCTGATCGACGATTTGAGATTTGGGCTAGCTGGGATTCCTCTAATAACAGAGCGTTGCGATTTGTGTCCAGAATTTTCTCGAGGCCTTCGATGAGAAGTTTACGCGCCTTGATACTTTCGGCAACGGCCCCTTCGGCATTTGCTAAGGTCTTGAGAAGACCATTTAGTCGGGCAGCGTGAACAGGCGCGGAGGGAACAGCTGCTGATGGATCGGTAAGCTTGTCATAATCCTGGTTTGCGGCATTGACTGAGGTCTTTGTTGACAGGACGAGTTTAGTCACCGATTGCTGCGGTTCGACTAGAGGTGCCAGTTCGTTGGGTATGCTAGCAGAATTTGAGGAGAAGATAGAGCCTCCAAGGGGTCGCTTGCCCGAGGACCGTGATTTATCAAGCTCTATTTTGTTATTAGCCCCGGTAGAAGAGCTGGAAGACTTTGATATACCTTCAATTCTAGCTTCGATTGCCTCCTGAATTGGAAGCTCAAAGATCTGCCGTTGTCTCCAAACCTCCACCACTCTCCTCAATTTCTGTTGAACTTCATTTGTAGCCCCTTTGTATGCGGTTGCCGTCGCTTCAGCAATAACGGGACTGAAAGCGATCAAGAAATCATCCTTGCGCCTCGCCTTTGATTGTTGTGCTACCTCTATAATACCACAACTCATCAGCAAGCAAATTTCAATGTCAAACTTCCCAGGCCTTCCAATCGCTGAAGATATGACTTGTTCCATGTGGAGGAGCGCGACGTACCATTTGCAAGATAGATCAAGTTGAGTCTCTTATTACTGCCGGAGTCCTTGAGGCGTTGGAGCCATAACTGTCCAGTGCGATCTGCGTGTCTCCTAATTGGCAATGATATCAGTACCGCACAGCGGTGAAGATGAATTTTTGCATACCGGTGGAACATTACCCATTGGGCGACAGTAACCTGCAGAAAAATATCAGATCAGATCGTGATAACTGGTGCAAGAGGGGGTAAACTTACTATGCTTTCCTGTGTCTCGTTCAAGGCAGAAAGCTTTGCCAAAACAGCCTCATCGGTATAGGCCATGCCGACGATATTGAGTTCGAGAGGTCAAGTATGATTGCAGCGCGAAATTGACAATTGTTGATTCCCACGGGATTTGCTGTCGTGTTGTTGTTTTACACTCGGTGTTACAGCTGAAGGCTCTAGGATCACGTAGCAATTGGCCTCTTCACAAAACCGGTCAACGGTCCCAAACACGTAATCCCAGAATCTTTTGAATTCTTTGAGTCCTGATTAGTCCTTCAAACCGTAGCTGAAGACCAGAATTGATGATTCTGGAGAACTTGGATGTTTTGGGGTTTGTGAGTTATTCCTGGCGAGTTTTAACCTTTGGGGAAGCTGTCCTAAAATAGAATAGCCCCGGTAAAAGCCGTTACAGGCTGACGATCGGCTTGCGCCTGGGGACAAGTACTTGACTTTCAGAACATCATCGTCAAAGGGGCAACTTGCGAGTACCACTCACAAGTTGAAGATACGCAATATTTAGGAGTCAACATGGCAGACAGATTCCCGTCCCTCGAGGAGTTTGACTCCGGTGGTAAGTTTTCTCGCAGTCGATTCTGTTCCCTTTTACTGATTCCAAGCAGCGCAAACCGAAGCCAAAGAAGATTCAGGATTCGAGCCTGCGGGCGCTGACGATTTCCTCTCCCGCGAGAAGGCGCTATTGGGCGATGATGCAGATCAATTCGCGACTGGCGATGATAATGCCGCGTTCTTAGACGGTGGAGATGATGATCTTTTGGGCGGTGGTGGACGTGAAGGCGGCAATGATGAGGTGACTGAGTTCGAGAGCTCTTTCCCCGCCATTGACACACAGAACGAGGTATACTCTCCTCCTTTGTTTATCATTGCGAGATTCAATATCTAACTAGAAGGAATGGACAGAGTGTAGCCCCAGGCGGCACCATCACCGGCACAACCGCCCCCTACCAACCCTCCTACCAGTCCTACGCCGCCGAGGAAGAAGAGCCCGAAGTTATCAAGGAATGGCGCGAACGCCGCGATCTGGCCCTCCAAGACCGCGCCGAGAAATCCGAAGCCAAGAAGCAAGAGACCATAAAGGCCGCCCAACAGAACATCGACGACTTCTACGAGAACTACAACTCCAAGAAGGAAAAGAGCATTGCGCAAACTCGTCGCGAGGCTGAGGAATTCCTCGAGAAGAGAGAAGATACAAGTGCCGGCGGTACCAGCTGGGAGAGAATTGCAAAGTTGGTTGATTTGAGTGGTAAGGGTGCTAAAGGCGGTGCGAGTGGAACTGGCAAGGAGAAGTTCAGGGAGTTGTTGCTTAGCTTGAGGAAGGATGAGAAGGCTCCCGGTGCGACTGGTTATTAGATTTGAGGACTTGCTGCGTTGACGCGCGTGTAATACCATACCATAGTTTGCTGGTTGTTACTCGAGGCCTGCCTAATCAATAGATATGGGCGAAGGCGTTGAAAATACACGGCACAGATTCATGACACAATAACGATTTTAATGCTTTCTTAAAGGTGATTGCAATGACTTTTGATGCTAATTTATACTTGATGCCGACTACGCCCCTAACCTCGTACGTTGACGGCCGAATACTAACTATCAACGGCACATTGCTTCGATTGCATGTCTGAACCAAATTACTCAGGCTCATCGGCATACTTGGCCGACAATTCTTCTGCCTCTCGTGCTGCTACTTTCTCCTGCTGCTCGAATTCCTTCAGTGCAGCCTGGCCTTCCTTTGTCGTGGCGTCGATTATCTGCTCTTCAAGAGAAAGCATGCCGCTCTGTGTTTGAGAGTTAGATGGGTCTTTCACCAAGCCAGTATGTTCGGACTCACCTCGCCCAATTGGCCAACGACTTCCTCGGCCTCTTCCACGCTCATCTTACCCAATACCTTGTTAACCTCATCCAAACTTCCACTCTCTAAGGCTCTCTGCAAACCGGGAGGGAAAGCATTGAACAATTCCCTAGCCTTGATCTCCTCGGGGTCTTCACTGTTCTCGGGGGGTATCTTGATGTTGATTGTAGTTCCGGGATCGACAGCATGCAGCTGGATCTGCTCCACTCCGCCGGTGCCATCAGCTTCCTCCTGGGCCCGTTGCTTTTGGATCTCCTTGGTCCTCGACTTAATCCGTTGATACGTAGATTGTACATCATCGAAAAAGACCTTCTGAGCCTGGTGGCCGGGTGTAGTGATACGTTTGAAGAACAAACCTACTCCATCACGACCCAGCGCTCTGCAGTATTGGAGGAGTAAGCCCTGGTGTACACATTGTCGAGCGTAGTCATCCTTGCCGTCGAGCGCTGCATTAAATGCGAGAACCAATAATCCGTCAGTCTCCTTCTCGGCAACTACCTGCGGGTGTTCCGAGATAAACTGCATGCATGCTCGATAGTCTCCCATCTTGATCTTTGCGAACTGCTTTCCAATCTCTGAAGCTTCTACCTCGGCGTCATCATCGTCGTCATCATTGTTATTAGCTTCCGGCTCATCAACGTCTGCCTCTGCACCAGAAGATTGTCGGCTGTCCTCTGGCTCCAGGGAATCTTTGTTAAGGGCTTGCGGGTTCAGAACCTCAACAGCCTGGACCTTCTTTTTCGTCGTCTTCTTCGGTTCCGGCGTGGGTTTCTTGTCGGATTTTGTGATATAGGAGCTATCGAAACCAGTATGTATACTCTCACTAGTAATCTTCTTGCCCTCCTCTCGTTCCAGTTCGTTGAGTTGTTCCAACAACTGTTTTTGCAAATCCTCAACCTTTGATTGATGTACCTTGATTTCCGCAACATAAGCCTCGAAACGATTCTCGGCCTTATCCTCTTCCACCTTACTTTTAACTTGATCGATCAATGTAGCCATCATTTTGGAATAGGTGGGCAACTCCTTCTCCTGGGTATGGACGCCAGCCGGTCGAGGAGGAGGGTGGTCGTCTAGGCCTCCCGCCGATTCCATCATTGCTTGGAAGACAAGCTCATCTGGACTTCTCTTCTCTGCTTCCGCGCTGTGAGATTCCAATGCAGCAAGCAGGGCAGTGATGCGTTGGAGTAGTCCATCATTGATGATCCGCTCGTACTTGTACGTCTCGATTTTATGCTTGCGTTCGAAGCGTTGCTGGTGGATTTGATTCTGCTTTGCTCGAATAAAAGATCGTTTGTCGACATTGGGGTGGACCTCGATATCTGAGTCGTCGCTCAGTTCGAGTGCGTCCTGGTGGGGGTGGGGTCAGCCTCGAGCTTCAGCCTGGTGGGTGGATGGAGAGAAAGGTTAGTCTGTAAGATTACTTACCCATTTACTGTAGTCGACGGGCATTTTGGAAATGTGAACCCAGATTGCTTCAGTAAAGGTGGTGTCTGTGCCTGTGGTTGTGTATTATCTGGTGAAGAAAGTTCAAGTGCCCATCGAATGTTCGAGTACAAGCGCAAGGCGACGATGAAATATCCCACGTGCATAAAGTTGTGCTGCTAGATTATGATTGGCTGCATAACAAAGCACAGCAATGGCGGAAACTAACGAGCGTCTAATCGTCTAATTGTCTAATCCCAGGCGGTGGCGGCTCTCTCTCTACAAGCTAAAGGGTATGACGCCTAAGCACGAGCGTGGCTCGAAGATAAGCTGTGGAAGAGAAGACACATTGCCTTTAGTAAGTTGCGACAATGCTCCTGGCACGTATGTATCCTTCACGCCAAGGTAGCAGCTCTCAGCTCGATAGAGAGTTTTGTACGCTCTAGTCAGATAGCCAACCAGGATCATAAGGCGCCAAAGTTAAGGATACACCAAGCTTCAAAGCCTCCAGTTGATTTCGTGGAATTCCCGCACGTTGACAGAAGAGGATCAATTAAACTCGAGGCTAATCCAACTCTATTGCCGCCAGAAGCACGCGGGAGAATCCGGCCAGGCTAGATCCTCGGGCTCGTCATAATGTGTAATAAGGTACTTACAGAGTTAGCCGAGCAGTTGTATCCAACTCCAAATCTATCTGAAGGCAGCAGAGAATAGCTCGCATGTTACTCATAACAGCGGCATATAATCGTAGCGTTCGTCTTCCTGGGCAGATAACCCTTTCCAGAACGTACCAAAGTAGAAAAGTTGAAGTAATTGCGCGGCCGCGTGGGGGCCTGAGGCATGTCATTGGTGCCCGGTGTATGAACTGGGAGTGCGGGATTAGTAAAAGATGGGTCCTGCAACGCTAAAACCGCACCGTCGTCGTCCGCTCCGTGAAGATTTAACTGAGCCGCTTTGGCGGACCCTCTCTCTCATCAGTGACTCCTCCGTAACTCCTCCGTAAGTGACTGAGCAACGCGACAATGACACTGCGGAGAAGACACCAAGTCGATTTCGTCCGGTAATATCAGCGGTTCTGATATTTACACTTGTATGATCAACACGAGCGCAACAATGCGCCGAACCGTGGTCCTCAGGGTCCATGGATGGGGAACGGCGGCCAGCGATTTAACCTGGAAACGGCTCCCAAGGGCCACTCCTGCGAACTCTCGAGCGCCCTTTCCTAGCTGCTCTCACACTACGAAACGACACAAATCCGACTTCAATCTTCCCCTAACACGATCATCCTCTTTCAGAACGAAGCCCCTCCAATCCGTCACCGGCCAGCTCCTGAAATCGCAAACAGGCCTCTCGTCGCCATGGAAGCCGGCAATTGCCCAACTACGGCCCTTTTATAGCACACCACCCTTGCGAGAAGCTCCGCGAGACAACGATAGACAAGATCGAAGAGACAAAGAGAAGGCTAGACGGGATGAGGAGGAAGAAGATCGTCTTGATGAGCAAGATGGCTTCGAGAGGACTGAGAAGGCATCTCGAGCAGCGCAAGTCAACCTAAGCGCGCGTCTTCAGAGCACCGGCAAGAAGCAAGGAAACTCTGCAGGTTTCGGCGAGATATGGAGATTGATCAAGATCGCAAGGCCGGAAGCCAAATGGTTAGCCGCGGCGTTCGCGTTCCTACTGATCTCCTCCTCCATTAGCATGTCAATACCTTTCTCGATTGGGAAAATCTTAGATCTTGCAACAAAGGATCCGGCGGAAGGCAACACCCTGTTTGGATTAGACATCAATCAGTTTTACGTCGCTCTCGCAGCAGTGCTGACCTTGGGTGCGGCAGCCAACTATGGACGCATCATTATCTTGCGAATTGTTGGAGAACGGATCGTGGCAAGACTTCGTTCACAGTTATACAGACGCACCTACGTACAGAATGCAGAGTTCTTCGATGCGAACCGAGTCGGGGATTTGATCTCACGTCTGAGCTCGGATACTGTTATAGTGGGTAAAAGTATCACCCAGAATCTGTCCGACGGTTTAAGAGCCCTTGTCAGTGGTGGAGCTGGCTTTGCTGCAATGGCTTGGGTGAGCCTGAAGCTCACGAGCACTCTATGCTTGATGTTTCCACCTATCGCTATTGGTGCATTTTTCTACGGAAGAATGATTCGGAACCTCAGTCGGAAAATCCAACGGAACCTTGGAACTCTTACCAAGATTGCTGAAGAGAGATTGGGAAACGTACGAACCTCTCAAGCATTTGCCGGTGAAATTCAGGAAGTTGCACGTTATAACCATCAAGTCAAGAAGATTTTTGCGCTGGGAAAGCGGGAAGCAATCATCAGCGCAACTTTCTTCAGTTCTTCGGGCTTCCTAGGCAATATGACAATCTTGGCTCTACTCTACTCTGGGGGATCGATGGTCAAAAACGGCGTTATCAGTATTGGGGATCTTACATCTTTCCTGATGTACACCGCCTACGCAGGGTCGAGTCTGTTTGGGCTCTCCAGCTTTTATTCGGAGCTCATGAAGGGAGTAGGAGCTGCAAGTCGTCTCTTCGAGCTACAGGATCGAAAGCCCACGATCCCAGCCACTATTGGAACCAAAGTGAAATCTGCTCAAGGACCAATCAAATTCTCGAATGTCTCGTTCGCCTATCCCACACGGCCTGCCGTCACTATTTTCGATGGTCTGGACTTTGAGATACCATCGGGCACCAATGTTGCCATTGTTGGCCCTAGCGGTGGAGGAAAGTCTACAATTGGATCACTTCTCTTAAAGTTTTACAAACCAACAAAGGGAACTATTACCATCAACGGTGTGGATATCTCAACCATGAATAGCAAATCCCTCCGTCGCCGAATCGGTATGGTAGGCCAAGAACCAGTTCTCATGTCCGGCACCATCGCCGAGAATATTGCATATGGCAAACCTCACGCTTCGCGAGCAGAGATCATAGCCGCCGCACGAAAAGCCAATTGCCAGTTTATTAGCGACTTCCCAGAGGGTCTCGATACACCTGTAGGTGCACGTGGTGCTCAATTATCTGGCGGTCAGAAACAACGAATTGCCATCGCTAGAGCACTGCTCAAGAACCCAGATATCTTGATTCTTGACGAAGCAACATCTGCATTAGATGCTGAATCCGAGACTCTAGTGAACTCTGCTCTCGCGGCATTGCTCAGGGGTCACAACACAACCATCTCAATTGCCCATCGCCTTTCGACGATCAAAAGATCAGATCAAATCATCGTTTTAGGAAATGATGGCAAGGTTGCTGAAACAGGAACTTACAACCAATTATCAAGTGATCCCAACTCGGCCTTCTCCAAATTAATGGAATGGCAGATGAGCGGTGGGGACGCCGCAGACCAGAAGAGTATACATCCTGAAGGCCGTGTGACCGAGAAGGAAGTAATTGCGGAGGAATTAGAAGAGATGAGTGAGGAGCAAGGTTCTAGAGCCGAGCTTGAAGATGAGAGTAGTGGTGAGGAAACAGAGAAGGAAGAGAAGAAAGCTGAAGTGGCATCGGAACATTCTGGAAAGCAGACTAAGTAGACTGGGCATTTGGAGTTATGCTTAAGATTTGCCTGGGAATGGTGAAGGCTACCATCCCGGCCTTAGACTTTTCTTTTGTAGTCGATTGTTGTCTCAACTTAGATTCATTGGGAATGGGCGGATCTCGAAATACAATTATGGGGCGATATCAAGTGTATTATACTCCACTCGATAATGATAGGGTAAAATGAATTCGCGGCCCTCTGCGAACTGTACCCTGGTGTTGAGTTACCTGTATTTGACCCTGACCGATTGGTCACCTGCCCAAGGGTTGGTTGAGTAGAGTTTACTCGCTGATCAAGTGGGACTCGGCGGGCATGGGGTTTATGGTTTCATGAACCTGGGTTCGACTGAGAATAAGTGCACGCTCAAAGGCTCTGCTAAGACCAGGTATCATATTTGATGTATAGTATCCAACTAATTCTCTTTGGTGGAAAAATCGACTATATTTGAACATGCCAAACGACGCTTGACACCAATGGGAGGAAATGCAACCGACGTCCCATCCGCCAACTCTACAGAACCGCGCGTGCTCCAACCTTCAGTCATGGTGATAACTGTCCAACATTTCCCATGAACACCACAAGAACCGCGAAATACCTGGGGAAATTGCTGTCAGCAGGGGCGGTCGCGCGGCCATCGGACACTGGGACTCACGCAGCAGCAGCGGCCAAAATCTCATGTCGTTTCGCTAGTGTGAAGAGGGACAAAACTGCTGAAAAGACAAGAGTGAAGACGAGCAGCACTCCAATAATTACTCCAATTGTGTTACCAGACTCAGATCCCCGAGACAATTTCCAGAGAACATACACCGGCACAATGAAGAGAACGAGTATTGTGATGGTCAGAATCATTGACACGACGATATGAATGCGTTGGGTGCTGAAGTATATGATGCCGGAGGTTTTATGGTTTACTTTGCCGCGCAGCTCCTGAAGAAGTGTCAGTATCAACTCTGATGATCGCCGTATGAAGACTCACTGGTGGGCAGAAGAGATGCTGCAAAGGTTCATTATTAGCTTTTATAGCTTGAGAGGACAGGCTCTTGAAATGCTCACCCGAATGAGCCTGCAAGAAAGCTTTTCCAGCATCTTCTCCAGGAACGCATCCAGCCAAGTATCTTCTCGACTTGGTTTCAAAGTAATGATATCATCTTCGCAATATATATAACTCTCCACTTGGCACAAGGGCGCCTCTTCATCAAACACTCTCCGAACGCTCAAAAACTCTTGCCTTGATGGTCTGTTGAGGCTAGCCAGATTCTGCGCTATCATCAGGAGGTCAGCTGTCTTCAGTCAGCCCCATTCTCAAGCTCTCAGTCCGGTAAGGAGGGAGAAGCTGCACCATATTCTTTGAACTTCAGTTCAATCTTACGAAGTATGATTCTACGTTCGCCATTCGCCGCGTCGTCATTTTCTCGAGATCGCAACATATTGGGAGAGTCGACCGCGTCAACCGAATCCATATGATCAAGATCCGCCTCTAATTCCCTTATTTCATCTTGCTTGTTGAGAAGGACTCGAGCTTGGAGAAAGCCAAACCGTCGATACAGCATTGCATTTTCGGCACTGCCCAGAAACGCGGCTAGTCGGGGATATCCTTCTGGGCAGGCATCCACTGTCTGATATTAGCTTAGTTGACCGAGGGTGTATTGGTGTGGAATACAGTTCCTGACTACCCTCCCTCTGGTTACGAGTCCATGTGAACCTCTACGCCATTTGTGCCCGAGCCTCGCAAGTGCTTGTCTCCATTGTTGCGGTGGTACTTCTGTTTCTTGTTTTCTCCTTAGCTAGCAACCCTGAGTTGAATGTGAATAGGTCTCTCACCAGGGATAGTTTTTGAAGCTTCTGATGGGTGGCTAGGCGCAGCAGTCAGAGTTGTGGGACTTTCTGGTTCTACTCTTGCAGCCCCGCCACTCTCAAGCGGAGTGCTTTCCCCCTTTTCCATCCGCTCCACATCTGTGCCAAGATATGCCATTGAATCACACAGATATATAAAGTATTCCAGGAATAGTTTTTGGCTACATCTCAATCACTCTGGGACTCAACACCACATATATGGGAAGAAGTGTTTGGGCTGTGTAGTTCCACACAGTCTGAGGCCGCAGCAGCAGAATTTCACGTGGTGTCATAATAGCTCCAAGATATCAAGCATCTATTGGCAATCCTTGGATATAAGAGAAGCCCAACGCGGATAATTGCATGCTAAGTAACACAAGCCTCGAGGCTATCCTCGCGAATCCAACCCGCGATCAAACTCTCAGCTCACTGCGCTCCAGGATCTACTTCCTTTCTGCGAATGTTAAGCAAACTGGTCTCTTCAAACCATTTGTCATCTATATCCTCTAGTGAAGTGCAAGTCTGCTTGACTCGATATGTCCATTTCAGATCTTCTGATTCTCTCTCAGTAATCTTGACTTCGACATCATGTCTCTGTCCTTTTCGTCGCAGCATGACTATTTCATTAACTTCATACTTAGCATTTGGTGCCTATTGAATGTCAGTTGTCTAGCTTTCTTATTTATTTACTCTCTTCTTTACGCACTATTGTCGGGCCGGTTGACCTCCTGATCACTCTTGCTGGTTCCTCCGGCTAACATCACGTTACAATCACGTGATTCTTCTCCTGGTTCTCACTTACATTGTCTATTCTCGTCTCGCATGAACCCATATGGCTCTCAGCTCATAAAAGGAGGAAGCTATGAGACTATGATTCAAAAGGGATAGATCTCCTGGCCGTCCATGCATTGAAATAAATACTCAGTGTCGGTGCAAATTCTATGTCCATGCGTAGATTTGAAATGGATGCTCAATTTCCAAAGTCTGATTTGCGGATAAGATCAGAAGAAAGTTATTTTCAAAAAGATGAAAGAAAGTCTCTATGTTGTGAGAAACTTTTTATCCTCTAAATCTTTCTATTGACTCAAATCTCCTGTCCTTGTTATTCACTTTGACTTGCCAATGACTCGAGGCGAAAATCCTTTGACTCTGTTCTCGCAAACTTTCTCGGGTCTGTCAATAATATTAATTGTCTATTCATGTCTACCTTTTGGATGGAGTCTACTAAGATATGTTCTTAACTTGGAGGGATGTTGAATCACTGTATGAAGGGCTCATTGCCAACAAGCCTGTTTAATCTTGAGACTCCTCACTAGAGGACTCTTTCTAGCAAGACTCTTGAAAAAGTGCCTGATCACATACTATATTTTTATGTCTCCCTCTCTCTCTTTCTACTCACAAATGGATTTGTTTAGAACCATACGAGAGTGCGGGGTTTGAATGTCTTTATATTGTTAAACCTGATCTCAACTTGCATTCCTCTAGGCGCTCCTCCCACCTTCCTCGCCTAGTTCGCTTTTGGGTATCTCACAATCAATAAACCTAATCAACTTTCCTAATGTCTAAAGGCTTCGGTGTTGTTAATGCAAGTGTTCTTGAGCTCGGTTCCCCTGCACCAAACCCATAGTTCCTCCTATTCAATCAACAGCTAGTAAAGTGCGGTCCACAGCCCATCAGAAATATGCTTGACTTTGACTGGGAAAATCTTCAGCGAGAGCCAAATGATCCTGCATATTCATTGAGCCATCATTCGCTTCCGGTCTATCTTGTCCAACAGAAGACTCCCTCAGAGCCACAAGATATTTCTTGAATTTGTTTTGAAACCAGGTCATCCCTTTCCCTCAAAGAATAAAGTTGCACAGACGCATATCTTCATTCATTGAAATCAAGATCTGAAAAGGCTTCTTCGCTGTGATGAGCTTCTAGTGATGACGGAGAAGGAGGACACTGTGCTTGATTATATCCTGATCGGGTTTGGATTTCCCGCGCCCGGGATTCCAGGTTGAGGTCTGCAATACCCGTCATGAGATTGGAAAACGGGGGGCTAGACAGTGAACTAGGATCCGCAGCATTGTACTGTTGTCTGGTCCCACTATTGTTCTCAATGTAGGGGATCCCCTCTGTTGGCAGATTCCGGGGATTGTCTTCCATATGTTGGTGAGTAGAGCTCTGACCTCTTTCCATATCGACTTGTGCATCCATATTGCTATGTCGTTCGTGTCCCTGATTTATACCTCCACGTATATTGAACTGTCTGTATGAAGAATTAGTGTGAACGCCATCTAATACATCTCTTATCACATCGTCGGTATTGCTCAATATCCCAGAAAGCCTGCTGTTCCAATGTATTTGCCGGTGACTTGAGAAAGCATTTCGGCGTGCCGGGCGTTTTCCTACTCGATATGGCGATTGTTGCGATTCCGATCCTCTGAGAATATCCCCTATGGGGCTTGGGTTTAATTCATCCTCCAATTCAGATATAAATATTTCAGATTCGAAGATTTGGAATTGTGAGCCGACACCTGCAACCAATTGAGAAAATAACTGCGTGGGAGGGGAGCCGTATTGATTCTGTTCTTCTGTCGAGGTGCTAGTTTGGGTACGGTCGTTGGGACGCCTGTTGCCAGAGTTTTGAGCTGTTCGGTCACCTCTGACCGGAGCCATTTCAGATACTTGGTTTTGATGCGAGATTGATAGCTGGACTTTCTAGATGCCTCGGTATTCCGGTCTTGGAGTCGCTTCAAATGTCTATTCTTTAGCGATAACTGATGGGGGTTCGTGACTGGAGTAAATATCACGAGCGAGGAATGGAAGTGTATAGTCTAAGATGAAACAGACTTGTGTGAGGCTTGTCGATGAGTATTGGATTTAAAAGATATTTGTTCTGGGAAAAGGCAGGGAAGTTCTTGGACCAAACAAGAAGTAAAAGCAGAAAGGGAAGGGGGAAAGTTAGAAAGAGGGAAGGAAAGCTCCTCTAGATAAAATAACCTTGGTTTCGCATAAGCTAGTCCAGAGAAATAAGGGCTTAGTGGTTACCTTAAGTTTTGAACTGAAGAAAGTAGCTAATAAAAAAAGGGACCATGCCCAGCAAGGTTTCCAGTAAAACCCAATAGCAAACGGGGCGCTTCCATCACACAATTCAGACGAAATATTTAAGATTCTTGTAAAATTGGAGGTTTAGCAGGTAAGGTTGATATGCCGAAATGTCATAAATAATAATGATTCCTACAATATTCCAACTATCCTCATAATCTTTACTCTTGCACGGTTCGGGTTGAACTTCAGGTAAGAGGTGGATATCGGAAGGGCTACTTAGCCCAATTCCTTTCCAAAGTTTATAGGGTATCAGCCATATGGGAAGGCCCATCCTGAGGTTTGGTTCAAGGAATATCCGTTGCGAAAAGCTGCCCTCAAGATATGGAATGAACACATTTCGAAACAATAATGTAGCAGAAAACCAGGAGTAGCAGTAGAGACTGGCAGATAGTAGAACATATGAGACGGCCGAGTTATTAACTCTGATCCAGATTGGAATGGATTGGTTTTTACGAATCTGCCGCGTACGCAAGGTGTTAATCGCGTCCATGGCTAAGGTATCTTGTCAGACTAAAAGCTTAATGCCTTGTTTAGGCTGTGATGATCCCCATATAATAGTGTGAAAGGAGACCGACATGGCGTTGCCCCATAAACATAGACAGTATAACAGAAAGAAGAAGGCGCTAGGGCTGGGGTATGTAAGTTTCAATTCATATACAAGGTAGGTATCATAATATCGGTACATCGTCGCTCCCCTGAGTAGTTGGGGTAAGATTTCCAGCATTTCTGCTCAACAAGCCCCTCTCTTCTTCACCTTCTCCATCCTCTCTCGCCAGTCTCGTATTTGGACCAATGCCATCATTCGCATTTGTCCGTCTCGTTTCTTCGGCTCCATTCAGAACATACCACACATCTTTCTTCGTCAAAAGGCCATGCAAGACTCCCCGGTCGCAGAATAATATGTAGCGAAGACCGAGCTTCTGAAAGTAGTTTGCTGTAAGAAGGAGATTGGCCCGCGAGGGAAGAGTAATAGGCGTTTGATCCATCCAAGGACGGAGATCGAGCGTTGTAAGAGGGTCTGCGAGAGGTTGGTGTGAGAAGAAAGCCTCTGTTTCCGGGGGAAGGGATCGGGGCCCCTCCGTGCATGTTTGAAGATTATAAGCAAGCTCAGCACGGGATATGTATCCAAGCAGTATTGCTTCTCTTGGGTCCGAGATTACTGGGAAGCCTCGATATGGATGACTTGCCAGCACGTTTTTGAGCGATTCAATGGTGTGACCTGTCGCGGTCAGAACGACCAGGTCTTCAATCCGAGTCATAATCTGGCTAGCTGGAATATCCGGTATGGGTATCTCATCGCTGTTGTCTAAGAATGGATACTCGTTAAAGTGTATCCAGCTTTCGTAGATCCCACGCTTCCCAAATGCATCTCCAACCCATTTGCTCATCATAACAGCGATCATAATGGGGAGCACATAGGTCAAAGCTCCAGTGAGTTCGAACATGATAACAACGATGGACACAGTCATGCGAGTGACTCCACCGAGTGCTGCTGCTGCGCCGATGATGGCGTACGTGCCAGGAGTAACACACGGGGTATCAGGTTCGCAATTCTGAAATGCAAAGAACTTGGGGTGGTTATGGACCCATATCTCCATAATGATGCCAACGGCACGTCCAAACAAGGCTCCAATTGCCATGGAAGGTAGGATAATACCGGCAGGGATTTGCAGGCCAAAGGTTATCGATGCCAGGAAGAAACCGAGAAGAGCTGCGAATAAGAGCAACAATATGGTTCCAGCAGTCGCAGCCCCTGTTTTACACAGCCCAAATTGGTCATCAAGAACTTTCGAGCACTCAGCGAAGAGAGAGTAGACGAGTTCGGATGATTGTGCCCGCATGTACAAGTTTGGATAATTGATCAGTGCGGTGAGAACTGCAACGATCATGATCTGAACGATAGGACCGGGCAACCAAGTTGCTGTCTTTTTCCATTCGGCGACTTTCATGTTCATTTTGATGAACAAGGCTCCGTAGAGACCCTATGCGACGATTAGGAAAGAAAATATAGTGATATGACAGTAATCACTTACGCCAAGAATTCCCAACAACGCAAATGGGACCATCTCAAATCCATGCCAGCCAGTACTGTATGTTACTTGATACAACACAAGTTTCCCACTCCGAAAGGGGTCAAATGCTTGCAACGTAACAGCTGCTGTCATAGCACAAACGAAACTCTGCCACATTGTTTTGTCCGGGAAGTAATATGATAGTTGCTGTATGCAAGTCAGTAATTGAGACCCATTGTCAGTGAACTCGACTTACTTCGAGACTGAACAGAACTCCACCGATTGGAGATCCGAATGCAACTGAGATACCAGCGGCAGCTGCTGCCGACAGGACTTCTCGTTTCCGTGCTGAGAAGGTGTTAGATATCTGCCATAGTTGATATGCTAGATTTGTATACCTTCATTACCGTTGATGTTCCCAAATAGCTTCATGAAGAGATTTGCGCAGCAACATGCTACATGCACGAGAGGACCTTCTTTTCCAAGCCACATCCCAGAGGCAACTGCAAGACACTGTGCTGGTCAGACTTGTTGGCTTTTGTATAGCGTTGAACTTACCAATCCAAGGGATTTTATCACCAGTGTCCAAGTCCCCATAAAACGTCGAATTACAAACCCCCCTAGAACCGTCTTAATCTCCGGTATTCCACTATGCTTTGCATATAATGCGTATTCTTTCACCAACAGGCTCGCAACCAGAGCAAACGCCACCTAATTATGTCAACCATATTGAATTCTTTTGAAACGCAGATGTGCTGACTTACCGAAAACAAAATAAAGAAAAGATATTCTATAAACCATTTCCCTCCGGCCGATGTGATATGGAGCGCAAGACTCCAGGGCACCCAATCTCGACATTGTGCATATTCGTCATATCCAAAGCAGCAGAAGTATTTATTGAGATAGAAATGACCTCCATCCAGGCCAGCTGAGCAGTACCCCGTCTTTAGGTCCCCCAGCCAGTCACTTGCGACATCGATTGAAGCAGCGAATATACCAGCCGCGAGCCCCGTGAGAATTAGAACCACCCATATCTGACTGGCGTCCCAGAATTGCTGCACATATCCGAGCAGCCCAGTAGCACTCGAATATAGGACCCTCAGTCGCTGGCGCTCCTTTGTGTATTCGAAAATCCAATCAATAGCCGTCAAGTCCTCGTACCCGACTCTCCGACCTGGCCCTTCGACATTCCAATCCAGAGGACCTCCATCCTTTGCATTCCCATTGTGATCTGATCCATCTCCAGCGTGCCCAAGACCATTCAAGCCATGCAATTGAGTAGGGTTCGAGGCGGGGTCGTCTGCTCTAGGAGTTGGAATAGCTTGTCGCAAACCAGATCCACCGCCCGAGAACGCAGACAAGAACCGTGATCCAGGTATCTGCTTCTGTTTGCGCTTTAAAGACACTATCTCCCCGCCATCTGCCTCTAGAAAATCATCGGAGAGCACGGCCTGATCTCTCGAGTAGAGCGCGACTGGGTCGTCGCTGTCGCTATCGTCTTCGATTGTCGCGGCATTTTGAAGATTTCGGCTATTCGACGACGAGCTTGCGTGTTCTAGAGGGGGACGGTAACTCGGAGGTGAGCTGGCCATTTTTACACATCTGCCGTTGGTTGTCGCATTGTATCTGGTTGTATAGCTGTCTCCAAAGCTTCAAGTGACGTTCGTGCTACATGTGTCAAGGTCGCCTAAACTTGCCATTCTTCCTGACCTCATTGATAAAGGAACAAAAACTTCCTCACGGGAGCTTCAACTCCACCAACATCAATCATGGAGATAGACTCTTCTGAGCAATCAGCTTCTCAGGGAGGCTCCATTAGTGACTTTCCCGCCACCTTTGGTAGGATGCAAGAGCTCCTCAAGGCAAAGGATGACACATCTAGATTTGTCGGTCTTGCTCTACTGAAGTCTGTCCTAGACAATGGACAACTCGTCCAGGATCCTGGGTCATTACGTACACTATGGGAGTCTCTCTCTCCAAAATTCTTGGATCGTCTTCTACGTGCTCAGCAAAGTGACAAGGTCACCAAATCCGAGGCACAAAACATGGTTGATCTTGCAGTTGCAGTGCTTCACACATTCGCCGTTCTGCTGCCGGAGGACTGCCGAAAGGAAAGCAGACTCATTGGGAGGACAGGTCCTCTAGTTAAGGCATTGGTAGAGAGGTTGGTCTTCCCATACCTGCTCTGAGTCACATGCTCACAACCTACAGTTCCCCAGAGACTACAAATCTGATATTACAAACGCTTTTGACAATCGTAAGCCAACCTGAAGGTGCTCTGGAAATGTTGCGAATTGAGGACTTGTCTCCTTTGACCGAAATAGCTGTTCAATACCCACTTGTTTTGGACATCTTCAGCTTCACATGGACCAACGCATCTACGATTGGCCCTCCGGACGCCGTCCGAGAGAGTATTGACAAATACGTCCCAATACTATTGGTGGTTTTCAAAGACACGGATGCTGTCACTCTCCTAAACTTTATTGGTAATCTCATACCTAAACTGACACCTGAAGTGAGTGCTGACTGTTCTCAACCTTGGAAACACCAACTTACATGTGCCAGGCTCTTCCTCAAAGCCCGGAATGGTTGCCTCCTCTTGTGACCGTTCTGCGTAAGCTTGTCGCTAAAAAGCCTACCTTAGCTGGAAGGACGGCATACACACAGCTCGCAGCTTCTCTGCTCCAAGCTTATCCAGAAAGATCAACCAACCTCCTGTTTATGGATGATCATTCTCCTAATGCTGACAGTAAACCCTTCTCATACCTTTTCGTAAACCTGTTACTCATTGACCTACGATCGTCGTTCCCGTCGTTACTCTCCAAGCTCAATAGCGCTGAGTATCCCGCGATCTCCCAGCGTTTATCAGTTGCATTTGATGTGATTTCGAGCTTCATAGGCTTCCTCGTCAGGAGATTGGATGAGGAGACAAGCACGTTCCCTTTCAGTATGCCGCCAGACCTTCTGTTGAAACTTCGCAAAGATATTGCGGAGACTATGTCTCTAACAATCGAATACTTGCGCGACAGATGGGATGCATCGATTGCCGGAGCATCAGGGCTGGACCCATCGGCTCGCGCAGGTACGGCCGCCACATCGACAGGCACCCATCTCACCCTAACCTGGGAGTCGATGAAGGACAGTGTGACCGAGGATCCGCTGATACTAGCTGGGATTAGAGCACTGGCGATCTGGATCCGCGAGGATGAGAATGAGAATCTGCGGAACGAGACTGCGGGGCTCATGGATATGATGATAGAGCTTTACAAGTCCAGCTCAGGAGGGAATCTGGACTTTAGATACCCGGTCCTGTTGGCCTTGGAGGGAATCATGGCCACGGATGACGGCGCTGAGAGGTTCCTGGGCCAGCAAGGATGGGAGGTACTCTTTGAAGACTTGAGCACAATTCTCAACCGTACCTTGAACGATCGAGATCTGGGCAGCTCGTCGGCGTCGACCGAGGCCGCTCGAGGGCTGGAGATTGTTCGCGTCTTACTTGCAGTTGTCGATCATAGCTCAACATCTTCTCCCAATGAAGACTGGATGCTCGCCGTTACAACAACCGCGTCGATGAAGTTAGCCTCAAAGTCCTCTCCCCCGATCGTGATAGAGCTTCAGATCGCCATGCTACAGTTGTCAACGGCTCTTCTGACCAAGGCAGCACTCGGTATGCAAAGGCGATACCTGGCCAACCACCCCGCGCTCTCGGGCCTCACAAATCAATTAGAGGCTGTTGTGAAGGGAATGGACGATAAGGTCGAGGCTGCGGAGTTTCTCGAACTTCTCCGAGACATCTCCCTGGATCTGGAAAATCTACGAGCCCGTTGATGTGAGGGTCAGAGCAGGAATTCCTGCGTTCGATACTTGCGTTAGGACACGAGGCCCCTATTTTCAGCTCACAGGATTACTATGCCGAGGAACCATCTCTCCAGAAATTGATATGCGCATCCGGGTAAAAAGACTCACGGCTCCTCCTCTTCCCTCCCTTCCCGATCCTCCCCCAATAATCCCACCATAACGAGGTAGACAAGCTACCGAAGGTGTATCATCACATCAAAACCTCAAGACGAAAAACTATCTCTGTCTAGAATGAATGCTCTCTAGCCGCTCTACCACAACACAACAAAAAGCAGCCCTCTCGCAGCCCTACCTTCTGGTCCTCCTTCCAATCAGGAACTGCGATATTTGATCAATTATCCAACTTGGTCATAATAATTTCTGGAGACAGGATGAGGAATGGAGGAGGAGGAGGAGAGGCTATACCATCACAGACGCAGGAAGAAGCCAATATATATACCTAGTCATTGCAATGGATATACAAATTGTGTACTACTAGTTCTGTAATCACGCGTATGTATATATATCCATCAACCCCCTTTACTAAATAAAACTACCTACAATCTTACGCCTCGGATTCTAGTATATTATTTACTTCGTCCCTTGTATCTGGAGTATGTGGTGGTCGAGAGGGATCACGCGTGCATGCATGCAATAATAGCCCGACCTACTTACGAGTATAAGCTACCTTACCTTACCTTATTATTATTCTAGCGGTGGGCGTCGAGACATTTCATTTCGTGCGCTAGGAGAGATGGGTCGAGGGGCTGGCTTCCCGCTGTGGGATGGGAGAGGGGGATATTGATAGGATTGGTGTGTGTGTGTATGTGCGTGTGGGATAGGATTATTTGGAGGGTGGTAGAGGATAGACGGAAAGATGGGAGGGGGAGTGGATATGAAAAGGATGCCGCGCGCGCAGGGCGAGGGGGGGGGGGGGGGTCGTGGTTTCGTTC